CGCCTATAGGAGAGACCAGCAACAAAAGAAGAAAGAAAAGTCCACCCTGATACGAAAGCACTCATGGGCTAGTCGCGCGGCGAAAGAAGCTGTGCAGCCCAACGCACAGGCGCTTGGCTGCGCCCTGTTCCTTTGCCGCCGTGCGCTTGAGGTGCGTTCGCCGGGCGGCGTGCTCGGGAGCGGGCAAGTGGCGAGCTCTACGGCAACTTACCGTGGGCCGCCCCGGTGTACGGGCCGTGGGGCGGCGAGGGTGGAAGTCTAGGGCGAGATGCGCAACAAGCTCCTGGTGAGGCTTGGCGAGATCAGCGACGCGCTCCTCCGGGTTGGGCAGATGCCGCATGACGCTGCCAGTCGCCTCGCCGAGGAGTTGGCTGAGTTCGGCTGCGACGGCCTGCTGCAGTACCGGTTCACAAATCGCACAGTCAGCGGTGCGGACGTACACGCCGTCATGGAGCCAAACAACACCGAGCGCAACGTCAGGCAGTAAGGCACTGAGCAAGGCCCGAGCCAAGCGGCCCTCGACTGCTTCGAGCACGAAGTAAACACAGTTGCGCGAGGTGGATCGCTGATCTCGCTGATACCATTGCAGCCGATGCATGTTGGCGGCAAGGTAATCCTTTTGCCTCGTCAATGGCGTACAATACATGCTTTGCCGCTGCAGAGGCGGAGAGGCCTCCCTATGCAACTGCCCTATGGCCTTGGCTGCCGAACTATTGATAGTGTGATTAAGCAGTCGCTTGGGCGACAGAGTTGCCCAAGCATGGCCTTGAGACGGACAGCCACGAGTCAAGATGCACCGGCGGAAGCAAATCGGCTTGTCCCAGGGATGGTCAAGGCAATGCTTCATAATGTGCGCCAGCGAGGTCGATTTCAATGGCCTGCGGGCCTAGCGCTACAAGGCGGTGTGAAATGGCTCGGCCTACATGAGGGAAGTGCAGAGGCTCTGGCTCGGGCAGAGTGACTACCTCCCTGCTCTCTCGCAACTGCTGCAACGTAGTGGAAAGCTGTATCCCCGTCCAATGGCGCGCACAGGGTAGCAGCCAATACCGCAGCGGACAACCCGACCGTAGGCGGGGCAACCGAGGGAGGGGCATCAAAAATGCTGACGTTACGTGGGACTTGTTCCCACTCAACACGAATGTGGGACTGGCCAGGGCATCCCATGCGCTTTGGAAGCGTTTCACCAGGTTGACCCGACGGAGCTGCTAAGTAGGCTACAATGGCAAGATTGTCCCCCTGTATGTGGACAACTCGAATCGAGACTCCTCGCCCTCGGAGGGTGATTGCGTACTGCGCCTTGCTGGAAGAGGTTCTTGATGAAAACACCCTCCAAAACAGACGGTAGCCCAGGCTTTCATGGAACAGAGTGGAAGTAAAATACTGGAGAGCGTGAAACAACGGTTGTGATGCAAGCTGCCCGAAATTATGAGTTTTCAGCCCAGAGGCCACATTCCCAGAGCTTCCAAAGATGTTTAAATAAGGAAACCATGCTTAAGTATATAATTAATCAACATAAAAATTGTTTAATTAAGCTGTAAAACCTTAATTAAACAATGTTTCTTGTCAAAATTGTTCAAATAAACACTTTTACTTTACAATCGTTTTCGGGTTGTATTTTGAGGGGGTTCTGTTTCCAAATCATTTGGTCCCTGGGTTGGTCCGGGATTGGTCCAAGTGTTGGTCCGGGATTGGTCCAAGTGTTGGTCCGGGATTGGTCCGGGGCTGATTTCAGAATTGCGTGGGGCCTGCGTTTAGGCTTGCCCTTTGTACACACCGCCCGTCGCTCCTACCGATTGAGTGACCCAGTGAATCATTCGGACCGGCGCAGTGCTCAGCTTCTGGACGTTGCGTTGGAAAGTTTCACGAACCTTTTCATTTGGAGGACAGAGAAGTCGTAACAAGGTTTCGAAGGATCATTCGCACTATCGAAAACTTGTCGTGAATTTGAGTGTAGCTGGCCATGGAGACGGCCCTCGACTTTTTGAGTTCGGCGGGGCTTTACCTTCGCAGCGTTGGGCTGGACGATCCCCGACGCTGGTCGTCAGATCGCACGTTGGACTGGCATGTTTGGGGATCAGATTGGGGGTCGGGCTCAAAACTTTTCAGGCTTTCAGGGCGCCTAAGTTAAAATCATACTTACACTAGATATCATAGAAATCCGAAGTAATACCATAGGCATCCGAAAACATACGCTCCATACCGTATGGAGCGTATGTTTTCGGATGCCTATGGTATTACATACATACCCCAAAATACAAACCCTGAACCCTAAACTCTAAACCCTCCTGCAAACCGCCGTCTTCATGGACCCGATCTTCGTTGCTGGGCCCGAGGGCCCAGAGTGCAGCTTCTGTGGTTTTTGTTTTCGGGTGCGGTTTTGTTGAATTAGGTTTGGGTTGTCGCCCTTTGTGGCGTTAGTTTTCGGTTGTGTTTTTGTTGTTGGGTTGGGGTTGTCGCCCTTTGTGGCGTTAGTTTTCGGTTGTGTTTTTGTTGTTGGGTTGGGGTTGTCGCCCTTTGTGGCGTTAGTTTTCGGTTGTGTTTTTGTTGTTGGGTTGGGGTTGTCGCCCTTTGTGGCGTTAGTTTTCGGTTGTGTTTTGGGGTTTAGGGTTGGGGTTGTCGCCCTTTGTGGCGTTAGTTTTCGGTTGTGTTTTGGGGTTTAGGGTTGGGGTTGTCGCCCTTTGTGGCGTTAGTTGTGTTTTTGTTATTGGGTTGGGGTTGTCGCCCTTTGTGGCGTTAGGCTGGTTTTTGCTGTTAGGTTCGGTGTCGGGAAAAAGGGTCTTGCTTGTGATTTATGTTACGTTGCTCGGTTTGGGTTTGGCGTTAGGTTGGGATCTACCGGGTCTACCGCAAGGAAGCTTGAGGCAATAACAAGTCTGTGATGCGCTTAGATGTCCTGGGCTGCATGTGTGCCACACTGATGCGCTCAACGAGTCTGCAATCTTGCCTGAAACGGCCGGGTAATCTTTTGAAGTGCATCTTGATGGGGATAATTCACCATTGATCTTTAGCGAGGACATCCCAGTAAGCGCGAGTCATCAGTTCGTGCTGATTACGTCCCTGCTGCCCCTTGTACACAAAGGCCCGTCGCTCCTACCGGGTCCTACCGATTGAGTGATCCACCGAATTATTCGGACTGGCGCAGTTCTCAGCTTCTGGACATTGCGTTGGAAAGTATCACGAACCTTTACACTTGGAGGAAAGAGAAATCGTATTATTAAGGTTTCCGTAAGTGAACTTGTGGAAGGATCATTCGCGCTATCGAAAACTTGTCGTGAACTTGGGTTTAAGGGGTCGCCTTAGGTCCTTCGGTCTCGCTCGGGTTTTTGTTTGGGTTGTCGCCCTTTGTGGCGTTAGGTTGGGGCTTTCGTTAGGTTTCGGTTGTTTGTGTTTTTGTTGTTATGTTTGGTTTGAGAGGGTCGCCGTAGTTCTCGCCTGTGTTTTTGTTTTTCGTGGCGTTAGGTTAGGTTTCGGTTCCTGAAACCCTAAACCCTAAGTTCCGCCGAGGTCTGGGTGGCTGGATACGGCTGGCTGGGACGGAGGACCGATGGGTTTAGGAGGTTTGGGGTTTAGGCTTCAGTTGAAGGGTTCGGGATTTCGGGTTTAGGGGGTTCGGGGTTTAGGGGTTTGGGGTTTGGGGTTTAGGCTTCAGTTCAGGGGTTCGGGATTTAGGGTTTAGGGGGTTCGGGGTTTGGGGTTTAGGCTTTAGTTCAGGGGTTCGGGTTTTGGGGTTAGGGGTTTGGGGTTGCGACCTTGTAACCTTAAACCTTTAATCCAAAACCCCTGGGCTTTATACTGTGCAGTCGTATCATGACCCCCAGGCCACCTCCCCAACCCCCCCAAACCTTGGACCGTAAGCAACCTGCACCCATTTCAATCCTATCACGACTTCAAGCCCCCCAAACCCGCCCAAAAAGGGTCTATTTTAGGGTTCAGGGTTTCGGTGCTAGCATGTAAGAGTCCCCACATTGAACACCCAGCCCTGAGAGGAACACTTCGTTCAAATACTTGGTTATCATGGCCAGCCTCTAGCTGAAACACTTCTGTTGGATTACGACTCAACGCCTCCAAGTCGGAACCCATGCTGGCTAAGCAGTGTTGCCCAACGCTGTCAGTCATTGCAATAGGACAACAAATAAGCTTTGGCTCTGATGCATATCAGCCTGTATCGCGGCTCAAGGCAATGGGGTGAAGGACAACTTCATGCACTGGGAGCGACAGATCTTTTGTAGACGACTTGTGCTGACTTTCGCAAGAGGGTTCTGAGATGGCTGGTCGCTGCTCCGTATGTTTGCCGAGAGTTTCTTTTCACTTGTATGAGTCAAAAACATTTTGTTTATGGCGTTGAATGGTGGAAAAGTAGGCCTCCTGGGGAAGACGCACCACCTTAAAAAAAGCGTCAACGCGCCTGGACAGGGGCCTCAGGGGCGGTGTGGAACACCTGTCCAGGCGTCTGTGAGCTGTAGGTACTGTAGGTTGTGTAGGTTTACTAGTATAGGTGTAGGTTTTGCTTTTATAACTTATATATTGCTTTTCCGGAGGTGGTTAGATCGATTTGTTTTGTGTTGCGGTTGAAGCCAGACTTTGCGGTAGTGCAAGTGCAAGTCAAGCATCCGAGGCTGCAATTTCTCCGAGCTGAGCCGAATCTTGATTCCTGTGTGGCTTTTAAAAACTTAGGCCCTGAAGTGTTTGTGGACCGTGGAGCCGGAAGGACACAAGTCGGTATAGTTGATCACCTACAAGCGACACACACCCCAAAAAACCGAGTGTCCTTCCGGCTCCACCTACCAGGGATTCCGACTGTAGCAGGAAGGAAGTAAAAGGGCTACTGAGAGCTTGTTGAAACCTAGGGCCTACGGTAGGGACATCTGCATGCCTTTTATGAAGGAAGCAAGCAGTGCGAGTTACACCTAGCACATTCCATAGCTGAATCGAAGCTCGGCGGGTCAAGTTTTGAAAGGCATCTTTTGTGCCTTGAGCGGCACTGCGGCACGTCAGCTAGCATGGCTTGGGAGTATGCGGTGGTCCCTCACGATTCCATTCAGGAATTCTATCCAGTGTGGCCTTTCTTGGGTTGGCGTGCTGCGAGCACGAGTCTCAGCGATCTTTGGGCGACGGTCCTCCGTAAGGAGGAGGAAGGCATCTATCCATGCTGTATCCGTGGTCTGGGGTTCAGTGCGTCCACCAAGTATTTCTGTTCCCAACGAATGTTTCTTGCAGTGCAGTAACAGTGTAGCATGTCATCATTCCCTTTTACTTTTACATCTTTTGCTTTTGAATACCGGTCCCAGCCCGCAAGTTGGCCCGCGAGATCCCAGGCTCGAGGCTTCACTGCTCATCTACAAGCATACGCAGAATCAGCAGGTCATAGTGGCGAAGCCCATCCGGAAGATCATGGCCCAATTTTTCGTTGAAGCAGCTACTGTTTTCAGTGTGCGGCTGACCTTGCGGTTGGATGCATGCTTCAACAACGGTTCCAGCGAGAGTTGCAGTGTCGAAGTTCTCATGAACACAGATAAGAAAATCGAGGATTTGCGGGACCTCTCCATTTATCATGCTCGGCAGGTGTTTACAGAGCGCGAAGTGCTGTCATCCCAAGACTCCTGGTATTTCTTGGAATGTCTCATGGTCGAGCATAAGAAAGATCGGCTAGGCTACTGGGTTCCCGCAGCAAGGCCTGCGGCCAGGGAGTGATCTGGGAGCTTGGCTGAGCTTGGTCTGGCAGGAAAGAAGAGAATTGCCATCTCTTGTATCTTGGTAGTCTGCAGTGTTTTTTCATGAGCTTGGATTGCACTAGGAAAGTTTGTGAGTCGTGCAAGCAGTGATCCGAATCCTGTGCTCGCTCCTCAAAGGCTTTGATAAATGCGATGTACACGGGTTTGTAGCTGAACTTAGGACTGCATGCAGCTCATGTTCTTGGGATGTGAGCAAAAGGAAGCACTGAAGCACCTGGACAGGCTGGACTTGGCATCAATATGAACCACATGCAACTTCTGACTTCATCATTTGGAGTAAAAGTAGCCACTCTAGAAGCTGATGTGATGGACATAAGTCTTTTCAGTGCGTCCTTTGTCTGAACGGCAACTTGCTGTTCTCAGCTCTGCCAGCGCCGAGTGCCGAACCGAGACCGAGCCTTCAAGCCCTTGAGCAGTTCTTTGTGCGAGCTCTGCACATGTCACTGTGTGTGTGTGTGTCTGTGTGTAATGTGCATTGCTTCAACGGCATGAACTTCGGAGCAGAAGCTTCTCTGTGGCCGTGTATCGTGTGCACAAGTTTGCACTCCCGGCAACGAAAGAAAAGAAGGACCCAAACGAGTCAACCTGCATCTGCAACAGCTTCAGACCAGAATCCTTTGCTTGTAAACTTTCCCGGCAGCTTATCACAGCATGCATTGCAGAGTGCTGTTGCAGCGCTTTTGCAACATCCATCAGGCCGTTCCGAAGCCGGAGAGGGGGAGTCCGGGGGGGACCAGGGGCTTGGACGGGCTGTGCAAGATGATGGTCGAAGAATGTCTGTGTGCTTGGTGTTGTTGCAGCTCGCTCCTGAGCGCACTCTTCAGCACCCTGTGAATGCTTTGCATGAGACCTGGTTTTCGGACATTGAAGGACCTTTTTGGCAACGGTACAACTGGACTGTGCGAGCAGTGAGCCCATTAACAGATGTGGTATGTGCACCCGACACGGTTGCAAGCAGATATCATGCCCCAGTCATGTTTGCACTTGGCAAGGGTTCCATGCAGGCCATGCAGTCGTCAATCTTGCGCATTTTTCACGAATGGTGTAATGCAGGGGTATACCGTCCAGAGAATGATCGATTGCCACCTGTGCTCTTTGCTATTGGATTGCCGAAAGTTGTGTGCCATTTGATTTTGCAGCGAGTTTTAAATTTTGTGGGAATTTCCATGCGACGAGCTTTGCCTAAAACTTTGCCCCAAGTCTTGGCCAGAGAACTGCAAAAGTTGAAATACCATGCCAAAATGCAAGCCGAGAATAAGCAACTTCAGGCCCTGACATCCCAGCCAGCGGAACCGTCTGCTGGCCTGACTACAGGATCTTTCCAACATCTCGTTGAAACGCTTGACGGATGGAGTGATTTGCTTTGTGCAGCAACCGCTGCAAACCCTGATCGCAGACAGGACGTTGAGCAGGAATTTCACTCGCTTCGTGCTTGGGCTTCCCGCCTGGCATTCGAACTGCATCCGGTGCAAGTAGCAGCTTCAAAGGTAGAGGGTTCTAGGCTGCAACGGGGTCAACTCGGAAAGCTGGTCAGAAAGCGCATGGCCCGCTGGTTTCCAGGAAGGTCTAATCCCATGCATGCTGCCGATGATACCACGAAGGATGCTGGCCAGAGGGGTCGGTACACAGCTTGGTTCGCAATTCATGCCGTCATGTTTGCTTCCCATTTGAAGAATTCCAGCACGGTCGATACTGCACTTCGCATGGCTTTGCAGATGGCTTTTCAGAAAGATGTTGCTGCTGATCTTTTGCATATGCTGGAGCACTCTGCAACGCCGTCTGCCGCGACGATGTCTCGATGGCGATTGATTTTCGAGGCAGCGACCTGTCTCCGACTTAGGGAGCTTTTCGAAGGCTACTTTGAGATCTCGCCCGGGCCCCACCCACCCTGCCCACAACCTGAGCCTGAGCCTCAGCAGGAGCTTGCACTTGAACGGTGCAACATAACGTGTCATGCTTTGCTTGATTCCAGTCCGCAAGGCGGGCGGGATTGGCTTCTGTCAGAACTTCAGGTGCTTGGGCACCGAACGTCGCTTGAACAAACGCTGCAGCACTGCTGGAAACTTTGTGCAATTTCAGAGCAGGCTCAAAGCTTCTCAGATCTGGCAGATTGTCCGGAGCTGTTACAGGAATTCCGTGAGCTTTCGGAGGCATTGAACTTGTCTCTCGAGCTGGTGGTCCTGCCGCCGGCTGGCTTAGGACATCAACGGTCAAACTTGCAACACAAGCTACATGCTTTTCTGCACAGTATGTGGCTAGCCAGTGGCAAGTCAATGCGCAAAGTAGTCTCATCCATTTCATCTTTCACGACAGATTTCGGGACGGAGTCTGGGATCTCTAGCATATCAGTGCCCAGCGAGGTTGTCTGCCCGCAATTGTGTGATGCCAGTGATCAGACAGCCTTTCAGACCTTTGATGACCTGGGCTCTGCTGTGGACCCCTGGCCAGAAATCAGCTTTCAGCATTCGCTCCAGGTTCCTGGGGTGCTTCACATCATGCACAACATATGTGCGGATATGTGCGAGCAGCTGCCATCTTTTGCTTCCTTTAAAGTGCATTTGCAGGCCCTGGCCGTGTTTCTTTGCGACCCGCATGTGCGCGAGGGGATGCAGGAACGATGCTTCAGTCAAGGTCAGGCTCGAAATTACAAGGATAGATTCGATTCCTTTTCAGAACGCTTGATCGATTGGCGCTGGCAAAGTCTATCTGATTTCTTGGCTGCAATCGAGCCTCTCGAGGCTCCACTTCGAGAGTGGTGGAATCTGGAGGCTTTCTTGAGGAAGTCGGGAGCTACCCGTGCCATTGCAGGTGTGGCAAATGCGGCCGCAGACGTGCTCGCAGCTGCTGTTGCCGAGGATGGGATTGAGGAGGTTGATGGCCCCGATGCTGAGGGACCAGGTGCTGCTCTTGTGCAGGCGAACCCCGCCGGTAACCCCGCCGGTAACCCCGCCGATCTTGCAGAACATGTTCGTGGATCTGTGCAGGCCAAGAGATTCGATGTTGCCGTTAGGGATGCCAGTGTTTGGGATTACATGTCCATGCTTCGTGTTTTGATGAAAACTCCTGATGAGCTGCTGCAGTGGTTCCAGACATGTCCCTGTCACGTCTCGGAGGTTCATCCTGAGCATCCTTTGTCAGGTCACGCTTGTATCATGAAAGGTAGGCGAGGGCCAGAGATGGCATGTGGTTTCCTACAGCAGTTCGTGCGAAGCAAGTTGGATTCTGCCGACAGATTGTTTGCTCCACAATCAAGTCTGTTCAGCGAGTATGTTGCTGGGTTGCAGCATCTCAGCTTCATGTTGCAGATAAAGTTTGCCCACTGGACTTGCTTGCCATACTCCTTGCTAGGGCTGGCCCATCCTAATGAGAGTCAAGCGCGAGCTGCCGCTCGCCGTGTTCTTGCTGAGTGGGCGAACATGCCCGATGATGACAAAGAAGGGGCCCATGTGCTTTGCAAGTCTTTCTTGTCTGAGAGCGGTCGCATCCGGAGTTCGATTTTGTGTTTTGCTCAGGGAGCTTCCAGAAATGATGCATGTTGCCTTGCTTGGTGCTCACAGATTGCACGCTTGGCCTTCCTTCCGCTGTTGGAGAGAAGCATCGAGGGTCGTCATGCTGTCGTGAAACGAGCTACTGATCGAGCAGCTAATCATTCCGGTGCTTATGTGTCTAGTGCTCTTCGCCTGCCAGTTCTCTTGAAACAAGTGCAGAAGCAACCTGAAATTTTGTTGCAGTTGGCGAATAGTTTCAACAAGGTCAGGCTGCCGTTCTTTGTGTTGACCCATCTTGGTCTTCAGAAGTCTCCTGCTGTCTTGAAGTTGCAAGATCTTCCTGATGAGCAAAGAAAACATGCCATGAGATCTTTTGGCTTTGCTGATCGAGTGATGTTCAGACTGGATGCAGCTTCGCAATACACAGAGTGGGAAGATGTTCTCCTGGGCCCATGCAAAAAAAACCGCAGTCAGAACAAGCTGCCGCTGCATGATGCAGCTTCCAACGAGCTCCAACGGCATTTGGCTTTGGAACACTTCCGTGCAGTCTGCTCTGACAAATCAAATAGTGCTTCGTACTATGCTGCTGTGCTTCCTCTTGCTGCCGGTGCCGTGGGGGCGGGAAGTGAGTTTCCATTTCGTGAAATGTGCACGGCCTTGTCAGCAGCGCAGGGTGTGGATGCAGTCATGGACGGTTCTGGAGAGATTGCTTGTTTTGAACCTGACCCAAGTGCCGAGACCCCTGCGGGGTCATCCTTGCAGCAGTGTGTTTCTCAGGATTTGACGTTGGAAGAAGCCGACAGGGATCATCGTTGTGTCTTGTTCAAGGTTCAGCATTGGAGACCTAGCCTTTTGAAGCAGGTCAAGGGAGCGTGCATGACGTCCTTGCAAGCAGCAGATTTGGCGGTCACGTTGTATCCTTTGTCGGATGTAGGTGCCACTGAGTCAGAAAGAGTCTTGGGCACGACAGGTGTTCCTCGTGGCTCCGGCGAGTCCCTTACAAGGGCCACAGCGCTTGTAAATGAGGCTCTATTCCGATATAAAGTCTTCCGGTTCCAGGATGCTTCTGATGTGCACTTCACTTGGCAGGGCCAATTGCTGCCAGGCTTTAGTCAGGAAGCTATGGACAAAGTTGTCACAGATCTCATGTGTGCAGATGCAACTCCAGAGTCCGGTCGGGTCTTTTCTCTGCCTCCTCCCAGACGTTCTAAAAGGAAACAGGCAGGTGCTGCAGATGGGGTCCTGAAGCAGATGACTGAGCGGGGGTGGCTTGAATTTACTGGTGCAGGTTGGGCTCTGTCACTGGAAGGGATGCACTGGGTTAAGTCTCGAGTTGCCCTCACAAATCCAATTTCCGTCCTGCAATTGCGATTGCTGGACAACAGAGCTGAGTGGACGAGGCTCGAGTGCATGCAATTCCTGCTTGACAAAGGCTGGGTAGCTCTCCTTCACCCCAGGGCGAAACGAGGTCGGCCGCTCACTCTCCAGTTGGCCATGCCTGAACAGGATGTTGACCTTGCCCCTGATGACGGGGGTCGGCCAGGGTGCACATGGTACTTCAAGACATCGCATCCGATGGTCTCGAGAGACTATCTTCAGGCAATGGTCGCAGTCGAGGAGCATCGTCAGGAATTGTTGGCTCTTGGCCTTGAGCATGTTCGGCATGATGCACAGGTGAAGTACTTTCAGTGTTTGATCAGATTGTCTTTGGGGCACGACACTTTGGAGAATTTGAAGGCTCTGGAACCCACTACGAAACGAAAGCGTGTGACAGCTTTTGAATCTCAGTTCGAAGCCCTTGAGCCTGTGCCGGAACCTGACCAACCCTGTGTTGCACTGCAAGACTCAGCGGCTGCCGCCGACGTCGAACATGGAGCATCGAGCCCTGAGGGGGGTGGTGCACTGGACCAGGACGACATTGACGACCTAATGGGTTTTTTTGACGACCATGATGAGGAGCCTGAGCCTCCCGCTGCGAGCAATGCAGCAGACATTTTGTCTCCGGCTTACAATGAAGATGCACCTCGTCATGCTGATGGGGTGGGAGGTCCCGATGCCTTGGTGCCTCCCCCACCGCCGCCACGACCTGAAGCAGCCGCCGCCAAAGCCGGGCTAGCCAGAGCCAAGGAGCGAAGCAGACACGCGAAGACGCATTCTTGGGGTGCATTTTTGATCACGTTCAAGGTTCAAGGCGCCGGGACTGCCAAGGAATCTCATGCCTGGCAGGCTACATGTCCTAAACCGGAACACAACCCGAACAAGCGAACGAAGTGCACCAAAACCATGTCGTTCAAGCCCGGGGACCATGAAGCAGAGCTTAGCACGCTTTGGAGGGTACGGCATTGGTGTAACAGCTGTCATCTCTTCGATGACAAGATTGAGCACCAGGCATACCATCCCCAGCTAAACGAGCTGCCAGAGGAGAGTGCCATAGAGTTGTGCAGGGTGGATGATTTCTTGCCTGTAGTCCCAGCTGCCGCACCTGCCGCGGCTGCACCGGGTGCAGCAGAGTCTGCACATGCTTCTGACGTGTCGGGTTCAATGTCTCCGTCATCCTCCGATTCGTCGTCGTCATCGTCCTCATCTTCTAGTTAGGCAGCTTGTGTAAGTTCCTGGCGATGCTTTGGCCGACCACTCCGGCTGATGTGTGCTCTTCTGAGTTCTGATTCTGATTCAACTTCTGATCGTCGCGACAGTTGTCTTGCAAGGGCATGAGCTCATTCCGTGGTGCTTGCAGTCCTGTTATGCACATGATGCACATGCGCTGTTCTCTGAGCATTCAAGAAGAAACTTTAGGTGCTTGGAACACTTTTGGGCGAAATCTTAACGTGCTCTTTTCTGAAACAGCTTGTTTGCTACATGTGCAAGGCGAACCTGCGGGGACCTTCGGGGACCTTCGGGGACCTTCGGGGAACCTCGGGCAACCTTCGGGGACCTTCGGGGAACCAGCCCAACCTTCGGGGAACTTGGCCGAACCTTCGGGGAACCTGGCCGGTCGTGCTTTCGCAACCCACATCTCGACCCTCCGACTGGTGGGTGCTGGGGACCATAGTACAGGTAACAATAAGGAACAAAGGTTGTTCGAGGCCTGTCCGGGTTTTCCGGGCAAGCTTCGAAATGGGCTCCAACAACCTTCGGGCAACCTTCGGGGACCTTCGGGGAACTTTCGGGGACCTTCGGGGACCTTCGGGGAACCTCGGGCCACCTTCGGGGACCTTCGGGGACCTTCGGGGACCTTCGGGGCCCATCGGGGCCCATCCATGACCGTTCGGGCTCTCAGACCTCCTGTCTCAAAAAAACAGGTTCGGGGCTTTTGCGCCAATTTCTTTTTATGTACCAGGTTCTGCTCGCAATTCTCTCGAAATCTCTTGAAACGTTTGCAACAATGCCGCAAACTCGTAAAGTTTGCTAAAGGCTTCAAATGCTAGTGTCTGATCCCCAAAAGAACCAATCGTTAGGTACTATACATAGTAACACGAAAGCCGCCAGTGTGACGTTGCCATTTATGTGGAAGCTGCACAAGCCTTTCGACTTGCTTTCCGCTGTCGTGAGTGAGTGCATGCTTATCATAATCCTTGAACTCTTGCATTCTGGCTTGCTCAGGTGCTTCCCGGGCACTTTTTGCATATCTTCGATGCCGGTGCAGAGCAAGATGTGCAAGAAGCCCGCGGCTAGATCGACCGGAAGGAAACTGCAGGCTTCGGCAGCTGGCAGTACATCAGGGCCAATGGCTCACGCCTCAGCAGCCGCTGAGACTTTTGCGGAGCAGCCGAAGCATGCTCGAGCAGTGGACAAGGAAAGTGCGACTGGCTTTGCGAGAGGCCCGTCCACGCAGAATGATTTGTTCAACAACTGGGCTCAGAAGGCGGCTTTTTCTGTACGCATGGTGCCACGACTGAAACATAGACTCGACCGAATCTTGGCCCGTGGTCCTGTGGTCATCTACAGCGACCACTCCGGCTCCGGCAACGGAGAAGAAGGTCTCCAGGATGTCTTGGAGCAGTGGGTCGAGGCCTCCGACGTCCCCGTGTGTCCTGGGTCGCCCGTGGCTTGGAGTTGCTGTGACCTTTGTCCTGAAGCACAAACAGCGCTGACAAAGACCTCAAGATGCAAGCACCTCTTCAACCGGGTCGAGGACTTTGCTGATGATTCTTTGAGGCGAAAGTTGATGAAGAAGCTCCCGAAAGCATCCGACGCGCCGGACAAGAAGTTGCAGAAACTGGAGATGATGTCGAACGAGCTCTCCACCCGAAGCCGGGAATACTTTCCTCCCGGCAGGACAGCTCTGTGCTTAAGGATCGGCGTGCGAGGGTTCCTGTGATTCCTATGAGATTTTCCTCCTGGCAGGACCGCGACGTGCCTATGGAGTGGTGAGAAAGTGCCGGTTATGTCACCGGCGTCTGCGGCCGACGATTCTTTCAGCATTGCTGTATCCGGTACAGCGTGCCAGGATTTTTCTTCGATGAATCGATCTGCCTTGAGAGAGGCAGGCGAAAGTGCTACAGTCTTTGCATATTGGAAAAGCCATGTAAAGGCGTCGGCACACGACGTCATCTTTCACGAAAATGTGATGCGCTTCGAGACCGCGTTGCTTCACGATGCTTTCTCCGACATGCAGCCTGGCTTGATTATGTAGGGAGCAGGGGAGCAACTCATTCATGGGATGTACAACCGAGGTATGACATCTTCGAGTTTACACTCTCGCCGCCGCCCGGCTGCATTATGCGATGTCCTCTGCGAATCCGTCTGCCACATTCTGAATCGCTTGTAGTGTGCATGTCTGAGGATACATGTGGGTTGGCCCATTCGCCGGCCGCGACGCCTCACTGCAATGGTTCGCAAAGACAAATGGTGCTGCTCAGCAAATCAGGCTGAGTTCCTGTCTTTGTTTGGCAGGGAGCCGAGCTTGACCGGCTCAGATCTACTCTGTGCTGATGATGAGACCGTGCAAGAGTACATGTGCGAGAAGCTCAAGCGGAAAGGCCTTTGGGTGACTGGAAACAGGTCGCCGGATCCGAAAATGTGCTTGACGAATGCTCAGCGCCATCGTCTGGAAGACTGTCTTCGAACCCAGGCCGAGGCCGACCCCGCACCCGAGGACTACGTAATGGATGTTACGCAGAATCTTGATTGGACTTCTGTAACACAATACGCGCCGTGCCTTCTGCGGAACAGCCTGCATCTTGTCTTGTACTTGTGATATGGGCCGCCTCTGTGACTCATGTGCAGTCATGTGCAGTTGCAGTGTTTTGCAAATACAGTAAAGAGTCAGCGACCTTGCTTTCTTAGGCTCTGGTTTCACCGAGCTCAGCGTTTCGCCTTGCCGGTGGAGCACTTGGCCATGCAGGGCATTCCAGTGATGAGGCATCTGGATCCAAACCCGGTGCCTGGCGATCGATCCTGGTGCCGCTTTATCGAAAGCAATAAGGTGGCAACTGACCCCGGCCAGGATCGCTTTTGCCTCAGCCTAGCCGGAAACGGAATGCACAGGCCGTTGATGGGCACGTGGATGTGTTACATGCTGTCGACCATCTGCCCACGCCAGCAAGACTTTGTCTTTCAGATGCGGTCGTTCAGCACGAACAGGAGCGACGAAGATAACATGTCGGATGAGGAGTCTTTTGAGTTTTGTACCTGCTGAGCTTGACGCCGTCATGTAGTGGTTGGGTGACTCTTCCCCGTTCAACAGCAGTCATTAGTAATTAGTAATTAGATAATGCAAGGGTTTAATGAAGGTAGTTTTATCGGGCCCGGGATGTGACTCAAGTTGTGACTCTTGCTGAAATGAATGGGGATTGAGTTATGGTGATATAGTGGTAATGTATGTATGCAGTGATGGACTGGTGATGCATGATGTAATGCTTATATTGAAGCTTGGCGGTGTGCAGGCTCCGGCTCATCTTTGACCGAGTCACGAGACTCACACGGGAGCCGACGCAAAATGTGTCGGTATCAGCAACAACAAAACTCGGGCAACATGGGGCTGTCAAAAGTTGGGAGGTCGTGTGCATTTCATCCAGAGTCTCAGTCAGTTGCTTGGCAGTGTGTTGTGTCCGAAAGTTTTCGAGCCGGTTGATTGTGTCTGTGCGTGCAGGTTTTGAGGTTTTGCAGTGCCGCCCAGCAGGACAGTGACATGAGTGCCACGATGACATGTCTAGAGTCCTGAGACAGAGGCCAGAGGTAGGCAGATTTCGGTGCATTCAAGACTTCGAGCTGTTGCTTGTTGTGCCCGCTTGCGATTTGTCAGTTGCAAAGTGCAACTAACGGCAGATCCTAGCCATGAGCGACTTCCTCTCCGATGACAAATCCGAGTTGTTTGAGGAGGAGCTTGGAGCCTCCTCTGCCCCACCGGTGCCAGAGCCAAAGGCGGCGGCCAAGCGGGCTGCGAAGCAAGAGAGTGGTCCCGATGGGCCGCCTGCGAGCAAACGTCGAGCAAAAGCAAAAGCCAAAGCCGGCGCCGACGCCAGCGCCGACAAGGGCTCTCGCGAGTCCTACCACGGCCTGATGTGCACGATGTGCGAAGTCAAGCCATCGTACAAAAAAAATCCGTACTGTAACAACTGCAAATCGGATGTGGACGCGATGCTGAAAGATGCAAAAGTCAATCAGTGGCTTGACAAGTTTGAGGAGTGCAAAAAAAAACCTGCTGTCTTCAGAAAGCTTCTGAGAGATTTCCAAGCCCAATGCCCGAGTCAAGGCCCGGGCAAAAAACGTCCGGTGTACGGCCGGGCGAGGGCCATCGAGACCATAGCACGCGAGATGCTGTCGGACGAAGGCACCAGGTTCATCAAGGCTGATTATTTCCAGTTCGAGCGGCATTACAAGGCGATGCAGCTCGACGGTGATGAGATCAACGAGAAGTGGAAAGCCAGGCTTGCCGATGGCATATGCGACAGAGCTGGAGAAAACGCAGCCTTTCCGGAACGAGTCTTGCTCAAGGTGGAAGACTATATCGACACCAAGAACCGTAAGAGACGCAGCTTGGAGATTCAACGCGAAGGTGCTGCAGACAAAGGACTCTTGGACGATGACAAGGCTGAAGAGACCTTGAGCTCCGGCTTCGACGGCGATTGGAGCTCGCAGTTTTTTGGCCCTGGCGGGGCTGAGATGAAAAGGAGCGAGGCAGCGGCCGCTGCTGCTGACAAAGCTGGTGACCGGAGCAAGCAACGTCGGGCCTCGTTTGGCTCGAACAGTCTGCAGAGTGAGGAGTCAGGCAACGGCGGCTCGGCCGATGCCGTCACTGACTTAATTGTCTCTCGTCTTCGTGCCTACGAGGAAGCGAGGGACTCCTTTCAGAAGATGAAGGCAAGCTTCGTAGAGATCCACAAGAAGGTGTCAGAAGAGGCAGGTTGCCGGTCAAACTTTCGAATCTTTTGCTTCCTCACGCTGTCTTCTGTGTTACGAATTCTGAGTTTCTATCTGGTAGGCTTGCCCTTTCCTGCATACAGGTCGCGCGGAACTATCATTGGTTGGTTGTAGCTGCTAGCTTTGATTTATGAATTTGTGCAGGTGGAAAAGATACAAGATGACCGTGGCCTCATCCCTGAGTACCGAGCAATTGCCACGCAGCGATTGAGGATTGCTGATGCTATGCTTTCGACCGAGAACCCCCCTGAGACCATTGACGCAAAGATCCAGGAGTTGCTGTCGGAACTTCCAATGTCCCCGGTGCCGAATAATTCGCTGCTTGTCTGCGAGAAGAGCCTTGCTGCTGCCATCCAGGGCTTGAAGTCTTGCAAAGCGGTCGACAGTCTGGGCAAAGACATCGAGAACTGCAAGGGCTGCATCCAGGCTTGGTCTGTGCTGGGCCAGTCACTGCAAAGTGCAATGACCGAAACCACGAAAGCGATCAGGGAATGCACGAAAAGGGAGAAGAAGAAGGAGAAGGACGAGCAGAATAAACGCAAAAAGGACGAAGCCAAAGCAAAAAAAGAAGCGGAGGCGGCGCAAAAGAAGCAAGGGCAAGGGCCTGCCGGTCCTGCCGGTGTGGGCGCAGCGTATGACACCTTCTTCGAGAAAATCAGCGACAAGCCGAGGGAGCTCACGGTCTTGACGGCCAAGGGTTTCCTCTCTACGCATGATGATTGCGAGGAGGCCCATGTCATCCGAGCGGCGAAAGCGCCTGGAATCTATGCAAAGAATGCTGCTTTCGACAGCAGGCTGGACATGTTCAAAGAGCAGTTCTCGACCAGCCAGGCCTGCATCTCCACGGGCCGTACCTTCATGAAGATTGGAGAAAGTGGCCGTCTCTTGGTGGACGAGTATGCCGGTTGGGCTGAATGCACCAACCCCGTCAAGCCGGATACAGCGCTCTTCGTGCCCGGCCTCGTGGGCATTTTGAAAGAGAGGGTCTTCTGGTCGATCGTCGAGTCGTGTTCTTTTCGGCATGTCTTTCTTGGCAAACTTGATGTGGTCACGATACCTTTGTGCAAATTGGCGGTCATCTGCAAGGACTGTGAGTGTCCGTGTGTTGTTGTAGCACTATAGGTAGTGCCTGCATGTCTCCAGTATCCTGCGGCCCTGTTGCATTGATAGCTTCCTTCACTGTCAGGAGCTGGGCATCTCCGAGGACATTGGTGCAATTTCTCGCAAGGCCCTCAACGATCTCGACGACAAGCTGATTCAGGTTCTGGTGCTTGAGGGCAAGGCAACCCGGTGCACATTGACCCCGTCGGATATCTTGTACGTGCCGCCGCTTTCAGCTGTGTGGGAGAGGACCTTGGAGGCTCCATGTGCTTACACCAGCTTCAAGTGGCTGCCCGGCGGGACAGAGGAGCTCAGCCTTCGAATCGATCGCTTAATCGCCCTGCCGGGATGGTCGGCAACGGAGTCCTTGACAAAGTCCCTCCAAACATTGCAAAGCATGCAAAAAAGCTGGGAGAAGGCGAAGGCGGCGAATGAGACGGCGGCACGATCGAATGGAGAGCCGAAAGAGGTGGGGGCGCAACGTTGTGTCACATGACGGCAGTGCACGCATGTCGACATTCGCATGCGGAGTTTAAGTCCAACCACTTCGCAGGAAGCCGCCGCCAAGGCGGAGTGACGCCTTCCGGTGTCATCAGATGTTGCTTGGAAAAGTTTAAACCTAAACCATGTCATTGTCATTCCTGAGTTTTCAAGTTTTCAGCTTCATCGGTTAGCACGTACCATACAACTCAGCACGAACCCTGACCATGGCATCTCAGGTGGGAAGCTCACTTTTTCATGGCATGATGGGCCTATGCGTTCTTCAGTGCTCAGTTTCTTCGGCAAAACACATCGTTCAGCCGTGCTGTCTAAGCCCGCTTTCGAGTGATCATCACGTCAGCCTATCTCAGCTGAGGGTGGCGGGGTGGATATCCGATGAATTATTCCGTGGTCGCTGCACTGCTCCTCATGCTCAGCCCAGCTTCTTGGATTCCGGACGATAGACAAGTTCTGGTTGTAGCCGAGCTGCTCGCCAGTCCGTCTTAAGGCACTGCTCCTCATGCTCAGCCCGGCTTCTTGGATTCCGGACGATAGACAAGTTCTGGTTGTAGCCGAGCTGCTCGCCAGTCCGTCTTAAGGCACGGCCATGAGCCATTGGATGCCATTGGATGCCATTGGATGCTGCTTCTAAAAATTTAAATCGTGTCATGCCTGAGTTTCAGACGTTGCATCCGAGCTCCAGCGGAAGCCCCATCCAAGGTGAGACTGGCGTTTTCGTTGCATGATCGGCCGATGCATTCTTCAGTGCCCAGTTTCTTCGGCAAAATATTGTGAAACCCTAAACTTACCCTGAATCCTATTTACTTTGTCAGCCCCCTTCACCCTGAGTCCTCGAACCGGCGCCCGAGTGACCATCATCTCAGCTCAGGTGGTGTGGATAAACCGATGAATTATTCTTCGGTCGCTGCACTACTCGGCACTCAGCTTCTTGGCTTTCACGCAATAGACATGTTGTAGCTGAGCTGCACACCCATTCATCTTCATGCACATGCACATGGCCTCCCTCCCAGGCGTGGCTTCGTGAATGGATGATGCCTACGTGGGTTCGTCCTTTTGCCACTCGACCTGCCTCAGCCCTAAACCTTAAACCCGGCAGCCCAACTGTTGCTCCCAAATATGAGGTCAGATGGCAGATGGATGATCCGATGAATTATTCGGCTTGAATTATGCTCAGCGAGAAACTCAGAAACTTCCACATCTTGTTTTTCTGGAAAACTCGAAGCCCGAGGCCTTCACAAGCTTGTAAGCCTGGAAAACTAGCCCTTCCAGGTGTGCATCGAGACTCCGACGATCCGTGCTCAGCTCCTCGGGCTGTGGAAATTTGTGACTATTCTGCTTTGTAGGTTAAGGAAGAACCTCCAGCTACTTTTAACCTTGAAACCTCCAACCTCAGGTGGATGATGCGGATTGGCGGATTTTTCAACGATGCTTTCTTCAGCTTCTTGGACTTTGAAGTGGACTTGAGCAGGGGCATATGTTGCATAACCAGTTTGGCATTCGTGGTCGCATCTCAGGTCTTTCACCCGGTGGCGTTCAGCTCGTGCAGGTGTTTCTGGGACTATCGTAAAACCTTTGGAGGGGCAATATAGAGGGTTTAGGTAGGAATTAAGGGTTACCCTGGGCCTTCGGTGCGATGATCCCTAGTTTGCTCTTGACTTTCGACAAGTACTCCATCAGGACCCCAGGGTCAAGAGCACCTGATGGAGGCAGCTAGGGGGAGCACCGAAGTGGTGAGCCGAACACGGCAATGTAGATATATAGGCGACCGCAACATGGCTTTGAAACACAACTGCCAACTGCAAAATAGATCAGCTACAACCCGTTTGATTTGAACTCGAACTTCTCAACCCGGCTCGTCCGCGCTAGGGGGAGCACCGAAGTGGTGAGCCGAACACGGCAATGTAGATATATAGGCGACCGCAACATGGCTTTGAAACACAACTGCCAACTGCAAAATAGATCAGCTACAACCCGTTTGATTTGAACTCGAACTTCTCAACCCGGCTCGTCCGCAACACATGAAAGCAACCAACCTGCATCTGTTTCTGCAAAACGGCTTAAAGCACACAAACCCACACATACAACAAATCATAGTCCGTCGTGTTGGTGGTGAGTTTTGGGGGGCTGGAAGCGACACGCCTTGTGAAATTCGGCAACGACTTGCACACAACCCCAAACTTTAGAATCTCGCGGCTATAATAGAGGGCGTTGCAATCCCGGAGCCATCGCCATAGAGGGTATTGTCATCCCTGAATCGAAGGGCCCTAGACCCTGGAATCCTGATATACCTACTATACAGTCAGTACACACCCTCTTAGCTACCCCTGAAGGTCCATAGAATCCCGCTAAACGCTCGCGACTCATGGCGTTCAACCAATGGCGGGAGATCTACTACGGCAGCAAGCGCGGTGGAATGCAGAAGAACCCCAAGGCGGTTTTATTTTGGGTTGGGGCCGAGCGACTTAATAAGTAGTGTCATGTCTCCCTGACAGGCTCATCCGAAGTCTCAAGCAGTTGCTGCTAGGATCCTTCAGCAATAGTTGTGAAAGTTCCACTACTTATATAAAACAAAACCCATTTCACAACCCCAGTATATATAAGCCTTAACTTTGAGTTCCGAGGTCATTCCGCCGAGGGATAATATGCCAAGGGCACCCGAGAGCTTCGATCTGCTGCAGAGGGGTTTTGCAGCCGTGGGTGCGGCTATGGCACATTCTGAAGCCTCTGCACCGGCATCCTCGTCATCGGAGGCTTCCCTTGAAAGTTTTCAGTTTTCGTTCATAAATTCATAAATCATAAACGAGGCATACGTTGCTAACCTCCTGATAATAAGCCCCATCTTAATATGGCTAGGATGTGAAAGTTGGCCCGGGGGCATTGGATTGCAGGTGCCTGGTGGTGCGGTGGAGCCGGAGCCCAGTGCCACTGGACTTGTCGGGTCAACACGTTTTGAGCGGTTTCTTTCTTGGTGTATCATTAAACACATATCATTCATATCAATAACTATGGTAATTTTATTGCAGGTGCTGAGCCTCAGCCCTTAAACCCACAACCATTCAATTTGTCAGGAAGCTGCATCGGCGCCAGCCAAAGGGCCACATGTGGACTCTTGACTGAACTCAGCCCTTCAATGAACCTCAAATCCTAAAACACGCGCTTTGCTGCTGCCGTCCTGACTGAGGAAGTTGCAGCAGAGCATCCAGATCCGGAGCCAGCCAAAGGGCCATGTGTGGCCTCTTGACTTCACCCAGCCCTTCAATGTTCAATGAGCCTCAACTCCTAAAACACTCACTTTGCGGCTGCTGCCTTCCTTTGTGAGGAGGTTGCGGAGCCTTCACATCCGGGACAAGCCGGAGGGCCACGAGTGGCCTCTTGACTTGACCCAGCTCTTCAATAAACCGCTTTGCTGCTGCCTTCCTTTCTGAGGATTTTGCAGCAGAGCCTTCACATCTGGGACAAGCCAGAGGGCCACGTGTGGCCTCTTGACTTAACCCAGCCCTTCAATAAACCGCTTTGCTGCTGCCTTCCTTTCTGAGGATTTTGCAGCAGAGCCCTCACATCGGGGATCAGCCGGAGGGCCACGTGTGGTCTCTTGACTTAACCCAGCACTTCAATAAACCTCAAATCCTAAAACACTCGCTTTGCTGCTGCTGCCTTCTTATCTGAGGAAGCCGCAGAGCCTTCGAATCGGGGACCAGCCGAAGGGCCACGTGTGGTCTCTTGACTTAACCCAGCCCTTCAACAAACCTCAAATCCTGAAACACTCGGTTTGCTGCTGCTGCTGTAGTCCTGATTGAGGAAGCTGCAGGGCCTTCACATCCGGGCCCAGCAGAAGAGCCACGCGTGGCCTCTTGACTACACCCTGCAGCCTGTATAGACTTCAAATCCTAAACATAAAACACTCACTTTGCGGCTGCTGCCTTCCTTTGTGAGGAGGTTGCGGAGCCTTCACATCCGGGACAAGCCGGAGGGCCACGAGTGGCCTCTTGACTTGACCCAGCTCTTCAATAAACCGCTTTGCTGCTGCCTTCCTTTCTGAGGATTTTGCAGCAGAGCCTTCACATCTGGGACAAGCCAGAGGGCCACGTGTGGCCTCTTGACTTAACCCAGCCCTTCAATAAACCGCTTTGCTGCTGCCTTCCTTTCTGAGGATTTTGCAGCAGAGCCCTCACATCGGGGATCAGCCGGAGGGCCACGTGTGGTCTCTTGACTTAACCCAGCACTTCAATAAACCTCAAATCCTAAAACACTCGCTTTGCTGCTGCTGCCTTCTTATCTGAGGAAGCCGCAGAGCCTTCGAATCGGGGACCAGCCGAAGGGCCACGTGTGGTCTCTTGACTTAACCCAGCCCTTCAACAAACCTCAAATCCTGAAACACTCGGTTTGCTGCTGCTGCTGTAGTCCTGATTGAGGAAGCTGCAGGGCCTTCACATCCGGGCCCAGCAGAAGAGCCACGCGTGGCCTCTTGACTACACCCTGCAGCCTGTATAGACTTCAAATCCTAAACATGATCAGGCAGTCGCACAGCATCGAGCGCCCGTTCCTGCTCCCTTGGCCGAGGCCAGCGGTTGTACAGTGTCCACTGTCAAAACATGTTGTGGCGAATGGACAGGATGAGACTGGTGTGCCGACGATGGTGCCGCAGGTCCTTGAGGAGGTACTCACTCACCGTTTCTAATGCCATGTTTTTTGAACTCTCGTAAATGGTTTACGTGCCAAGGTATCAGTCATCAATGACTGGCGGGTCTGCCGCTACCTGGACGGCTATGGCAACGAGCGGAAATACTGGTTCAACACGGTGGCCCAGATTACGAGCCACACTCCGCCGATCCAGTGGGATATTGTGCCTGGGCGGCAGCAGTTGTCAAGCAGCAGAAGTTATTGACACATAGTCACATAGCTGACACAGCTCAGATCGCGCCGCCGGCGGACCTGGAAGCCCAAAAGGCTTTGGGCCCCTACAGGCTCTGGCATGAATACCGGACTGGCTTCGACTCTTCCCGAGCGGTGTGGTTCAACGCGGAGACTGGCCAGCGCCTCAACTACCAGAGCCTTGTGCCCCGGCTACAATTACAGTAAACGGTTTACGGTTTACGGTAAACGGTAAACCTCATAAAGTTGGAAACCGGATTGTGCTAGGATTCCCTATACATTACTCTTCCAAGGAGGAGGCGTTCAACATGAAGAAGAGGGAGCTGGAGTACATCCGCAAGAACGATCCGAAGCGGGCGCGGAAATAAAAAAGAGTGCCGACTGCATTCGCCCGCCGTTGCCAGCCTTTTTTTTGGTTCATTCATGATCAGTCCGAGTCCTGAAAATGTCTTGCGTCAGGACCTGCAGCTTCACCATTCCTGCTCTTCTCGTGCTGTCCTGAGCAAGGGGTTCAAGGGGTTCAGGGGTTTGGATTTCGGCGGCTTCAGGGCTTTTGAAGTTCTGAGGTGCAGGCTTGCAGTTTGTCTGTTGCAGCTAAACTCTCAACCCGAATCCGTAAGCCCTGGCGAGGTTGCTGGTTCGGCGACGGCGGATTGGCCAGAGCGAGGTGCATTCGCCGCATGAAGCCCTAAGCCCTCACTTTAAGCCCCAAAAACCCTAAAGCCAACACCCTAATCGTAGCGCGGCTGTGATCTCGGAGTTTTGACTGCAGGATTGTCCTCTGACCTTTAGGATTTAGGTTGCAACACCCTGATTGTTTGAGAATTTTTAGAATCATTGCAGTGTGCGATTCCTGGGGTCATTGCTGAGTCGCATCCTTCTCGATTGTCTCCTTTGTTGTAGCGGGATTGCCCGGCATGTCAGGCACGGATCCAAGTGGAAGACGGCAGGAGCAGGCCATCCCGGTTGCTCCGCTTCGGGTTTCAAGGAGCTGGGTCTAGGATGCGGGGTTGCTGTATGGGCTTCTGCGCGGGTTTTGGGGTCATGCGACGCATTTCTTGAATCGGTGATGCAAGCCTTGCTCCCAATCTACGGGTAAGCATGGTCATTCGGGCCCCATCAATGATTCAGACGTGCTCAGTCGGAGCCGCAACTGTGGCTCGCATGTCATCATTTGATCGAAGGGTGTGTTGTGAATTCGCCAAGCTATCAAAGCTATGGGAAAGTCCGAATGCGCACTCCGAACTGTCACTGACGCTGTCCTTCCAAGCGGAATCTGAGGCTGGACACCAGCTGTGATCCGAGACTGCGCTCCGAAGTCCGCGCATTATTGGGGTACTATTATTGGAATTAGTGGGTGCAGGGTTCATGTAGGGTTGGGGCAGTCAGGGTGATCAGGACGTTTCTAGTCTTATAGGGTACGGTACAGTCAGTACACTGTAGAGGGTTTTGTCATCGGCTTTGTAACCTAGTGCGGCCGAGGCCATCGGTAAAGGATTCAGCTCCAGGGTTTTGAATGCAGATCAAGTGCGAATCAAGACCAACTGGTCTCATCGTTTCGATGCTTGCGAGACAGAGAGCTGGGGCTCAAGGTTATCTTGCATGTTTCCAATTGTTCGGATTCAAGAAAGAGGTTTGTTATCCGTGTTTCGAATTCGACTCATCGGTTAATGGTTTGCAGTCACCATAGCTGTCCATGCACGTCAGGAACACTAAATCAGAAACTGGGAAGCATATGTTGCCTGTAAGTTCCGGATAGATACACACAGATCTAGAGGCTCATAGAGGTCCGAACCCAGCGATGCCGTGGAGGTGCCGGACATGCGCCAAGAACTTGACCTCGCGGAGACCTCCGAATAATCATTGTCGCACATGCCGTCCTTTTACCAAGATCGGCTGGCATAACAAGATGCGCCCGACACATCGCTTGATGAAGAAGACACCCCAATCGTCAGTCCAGCGAGAGCCCATGAGTGCCAAGCCGGTCGCCAGCCAGCAGTCACAGGAGACACTTGCGCGGGTCGAAAACTTGAGGAATGGGTTGGAATCTGAAATGGCTGTTTTGCTGCAGATTACTGGGAGGGATCATGCCACCACGCACAGCGTCTTGGCATCCGCTCATGCTCTTCTTCAGTGCTATGAGAGCAAGAGCATCAAACTTCCCTGCACATTGGAGCTTGCCATAGCCAGCTTGATTTCAGTAGGTATGGCCACTTCGGCCAGAGTGTGCGATGCAGATGCACTTCGAGTGCATTACCGTAACGCACACAGGATCAAGCGCAGTGAGATGATGGCCATGGAATGTTTCTGGACAAACCACGTGGGCAATTCCTACAACACTCATGGCTTGCTGGGCTCGTGATGTCAGGAAGCTTACTGCGGACAGCAACGATAAGTCTGAATGCTGAGCGACTTCTTAGGCAGTGTATTTATCACTGCGTCTTTAGGCCTCCCGTGGCACTGCATCAGAGTGCTGTCTCTGTACTGGTGTATTTTATCCGATGACTACAGGGACAACAAGGAACCAAGTACTAGTGCTGCCAAAGTAGTCTACATCACGGAATCTGACAGCTCTGATGTGCCCATCCTCGAACTTGAAATCTAGCTTGACGTTTCAGAAGTAGATGTCTCCGAATTTCGCAGGTCTCGCTGTGGATGCTATAAGACCGTCGCTTTGTAGGGGCCAGATTGTTTAGAACTGCAGGGGTTTAAGAACTCCCGTGATCTTCATAGTCATTGGACAATCCCGTGGATTCAAAACTATGCCAAAGGATCTCCGCGCTCCGCTGAAATATTGTTCGAAGGTTCTGAACATTTCCGAGCTAATGGAAGCCTTTTCAGGAAGAGGTTTCGGAGATGGGTTTCGCGGTTCCTGAGTGTCATCTGAGGATCCCAGTCTCCACATCAGCATTCACACACGAAGAAATCACCGGGTGTTTCGATCATTGCACAGAAATAGCCGAAGTGCGCACTAGATCTGTCATCTGTTTGTGGATGTGTGTCTGCGTGTGAGTGAAAGAGTGGAAGAAAGACGACATGGGCATGCCAGGTATGTCCTCGCTAGTGCGTGCTCAGCGGCTGGAACAGCGGCCTATGCAATGTGAGATGCCGAGTCAGAGTCTGCTGTGCATTTTCCTGTGGAGCCCGGTGGCTTTTTCCGTTTGGTTTAGGGAAGACGAAACGGTGTTCAGGGGGGGAAATCAGAGAATCTGAGGCGCCAGATCTGTTCGCACACTGAAACGTCTTACAGAGAAGTCGTGGCGAGCGAGATCGATGCCTCTCTGCAGACTTTCCTGAAGATGAATTATCGCATGGATCATCTCTTCAAGGATTGAGGGCTTCGGGCACGGGTTCCGGACCTCAGAGCTAAAAGGCTTCAGGCATTGTCTTGTGGGGGTTGAAGCCAAACCAACCGCTTGTGATGAAGATGTTCCATGCATATGACTCATATGACCCACATCTTCGTTCTCCCTTTCTATGCGGCACTACTATCTTTGGCCGAAGGACGTGAAGCACGCCTACACTGCCACTGGCGGCCCCTGCGCTCTCCACCCTGGTGCGACATGCGTCGCTGCTGCATCCGAAGGTGATCTAGCTGAGGCGGCGGTCCGGTTAGCTGTGCAGCATGTTGAAGACCTGCCGTGATCTGCCTGAATACACAGCCCAAAGTTGCCGTCACCCCATCACGCATTCGCCGTTGTTTAAACCCTGATAGCCCGCCCAAACCCGACGGACTATGAGCTGCTGCCTCCCAACTCGTGTTTGTGGCAGGATCTACTGGTGGCCGGGCCGCCGTGTCAGCCCTACAGCTGCCTCAACATTCACCGGTGGGCCAGTAATTACAGCCCGTGGAGCTCCCCAAAAGCCGAGCCCTTTTTGCACGTCGCTCGATCATAGTTCTTGGCTCTTGTACGATCCTAAGACCCCAGCACCTCGAAGTTACGTTTGGATGCTTCATCCCAGGTTGCAAGGCATGTCCGTCTGCGCAGACCTCGCACTGTTATCGTCGAGGAGGTCCTCGGCACCCTGAGCCAATCCACGGCGGCGGCAAGTGCCGACAACTCCCATGCTGGCGAGGCCAGGTTCCCGCGGATCCAGACCACTTACTACTGCTGCTGCTGCTGCTGCTGCTGCTTCTACGACGATTACTGCTGCTACTACGGTTTGGGTTGTCGCCCTCCGTGGCGTTAGGTTTAGGAGTTTAGGTTTGGGTTGTCGCCCTCCGTGGCGTTAGGTTTAGGTTTGGGTTGTCGCCCTCCGTGGCGTTAGGTTTAGGTTTATTCAGCGGAGCTTCAGTCCTTCAGCAGGGGTCAGCCATGTCCATGTGGGTTGATGCCAAGTACGTGCAGCTTAGTTTCATCGGCCGAACAATGGAGATATGATTCTATGATCCTCGTCCTAGTGTGGTTCGGCCTGTGTTACAGACTGCAGACTGGTTTTGTGGCTGACACTTTCCTGATGCGCGGTGGATCCCTAAGCCCTAATAAGCCCCAGCCCAAACCATTTGTCCACCCTCGAATCGAAACCGTGTGTTCAACAGCAGCCAGGGCTAAGACCATGGTGAGTTTCGGCATGGATCGTATAGGGTGGAAAATCGGCACAGACTGCCTATTACATAGTCAAACAACCTGCGGTGTTCATGTTCAGCACAGGCAAGCGGAGCTTCAGTCCTTCAGCAGGGGTCAGCCATGTCCATGTGGGTTGATGCCAAGTACGTGCAGCTTAGTTTCTTCATCGGCCGCACAATGGAGATGTGATCCTCGTCCTAGTGTGGTTCGGCCTGCGTTACAGACTGCAGACTGGTTTTGTGGCTGACACTTTCCTGATGCGGGGAATCCTGGCCGTGCACCGTCGAGCTTGCGAGAGATCAGAAACTTCGGAGTCAAGCTCCAGCGAGGATTCAGATTCCGAAGCACGGGCTTCTTCTCCAGACGGCAGCAGCGACAGTGGTGCCTCTGATTCTTCTTCCAACGCTTGTGAGCGTGAGAGGCAGCATGTGGCGACACTGAAACGAAAACAGCAGACGGCAAAGGCTAGATCAGCCCTAGCAACAAAGCGTTTTCAAGGAATGAAGCAGCGAGGGGAAGACATTGCAACCCAGGCTGCAGAGACTAGCCGGCTGTCACAGATTCAATCGACGCTCTTCACTTCAGAGTTCTACAATAAAGACAGGGGAGGAATGTCGCGTAAACTCCGCTTGCGTGGAATCTACAGTTACTTTGAAGCTTTTGCAAGTTCTGTGTCTGCATTCTTTCGAAGAAAGCTGCAGCATGTCTTGAATGTGCGTGTGACTGATGATTGTAACCTGCGTATGGCCGAACGGAGCGGCAGCAGTGCAATCTATAACTGCATGAACTCGGTGCAGACAGTCCATGCCAGAACTTCAGCGGGGCGGATGGTGCATTTTCGCGTGCACCAACCGATGGTTCTCGTCCCAAATGCAACGGCAGAGGCCCTTCATCGTGCTGCATCTGCTTGGTGCGTGTGCACGCCATGGGGCCTGGGTTCTTCCTTGCAGCGTTTCGGTGTCCGCATGCCCGAACGCTGCGCTACCTTTCGTTGCGGCATTTGGGTGTTGGATTCCCTGAAAGCCAACATGAAGTTGTTTCGGCAGGAGCGAGCAGATCTTGAAAAGCAGCGAGAGGTGCAGTCCGCACAAGACTCTCAGGACATGCCAGTGGCGCTGCTCACGACTTGCAACATACATAAGTTGGCACTGATAAGGAAGCCCATGGTGCTGCAGCCGAAAGATGTGTGGTCGACTTTCGTTCGACTTGCGCATCTTTTCGAGAGCTTGAGCTTTCGACAAAAGTTCAGGCAAAGCCTGGCGTGCATCCTTTTGCAGTCCTTCCGAAGAGTCGAAGTGCAGAGACCCCCGGCAGAGCTGAGCATGTGGCAGCAACGCACTGCGACAATTTTCGCGCAGTCGGAGCCAGACAGACCGAAATACATCCTCGAGGCTGAGAATCTTTATGCAAGCTTTTGCAACGGCTCCCCAGATGAGGACGAGGTCGTGCACTGGTGCGTCGTTGGTCAATGTGACAAATGTGCAGGTTTGTCAGAAGACGAACAGATTGCACTTGCATTGAGAGCATTCTTGGGTTTGTTTGGCCAAGGGTACCGAACTCCGTTACTTCAGAGATGGAAACATTACGGTTCTGCGAGCAGATATATGTTCTGTGCGATTGCGCTGCACAAGATTCTGCCAAGGACACTGAAACACATGTCGACTGGCAAACCCGGAAGTAGGCGGGCCAGCAAAATCTTGACAGAAGCAGATGCCGCTGAGGACAGGATTGTTGAAGCTGCCTCAGATGATGATGGGCTGGATGTCTTCGCCGACGAGTCTTTCGCATCTCGCAACAGCCGGCGCTTGCGGCTTGTGCAAGCAGCTTTGGCAGAACCGAGCTTTGAAGACAACGTGACACTGCTCAGCTTGATATGTCGGCCCATTGACACTGCAATCAACGGACTAATGCAGAGAACAAGATTGCTGCACACCCTACGAACGGGCATCTTCCCTGATGCGAACGGTGCAGGCAAAGAACACCTTTCTTTTTTACTTCTTGGCAACTTGAGCATGTGTGTCATGATTTAAGGTAAGGTAAGTTGTAGTTGTACTATCAACTTTGTGTACCAGGTCGTGATGAGATCGAGACCAAGTGCAGGCATCTCTTCTTCAGATTCGCTTCCGGCGCTTTTGGGAATGGAGTCGTTTCAGATTTTCTTCATATCTTGACGAAAGACTACAAGGACTTAGACTTCATGGGGGTAAGGCCTGCGAAGAGTCGCTGGAAGGACCTTTTCTGTTCAGTTCTCTTCGGGATGGGAGAGAGCTGGCGCAGGTTTGTTCACTACGTTGACACATATCCTTGGCATCTGTTTCGGCTGTGCCACCTGTCCGAAGAAGATTTTTGGGTCCAGTGGAAACAGATCGAGTCTGGTTGCCAGGGCTGTGTCGATGTTGAACTCACGAAAGGTTTGCTCCTCGCCTGTCCTACGGACGGAGCTTGTCGGACAGACTTCTACCACCGGGTCAAAGCTCTCTTGACTGACTTAGCCACCTTCGCGCCGCTTTCCACTGATTCTGTGGAGACTGTACACGGGCACATCCAATCCAGAATCCACAAGTTCCGCAGCCGGCTGAAGCAAGCAGAAGCAAGCTCGGAAAGGACGCTCCTCATGTCTTTGATTGCAGAACAGAAGGTCACCTTGGAGATGGTCAAGCTGCAAACTCTTCCCAAAGCTCATTGCGTTGCTGCCATTCAGCGGACTGAGGCCAAAAACAAGAAAGGTCCTAGAACTGCGTTTAATCGTATTACTGGCTGGAATGTTTTTTTGCGTGAAAGCCTCAAAGACACGAAGCTCTCGAAGGGCGGTTTCCAGAGCAAGGATCGCGAGCTGGGGTCGAAGTGGCGGCAGATGTCGAAAACAGATAGAGAGAGGTACGAGCTCCGAGCTACATGGGAAATGTCGCGACGGGACCATTGGCTGAAGACCCCGCTGCCGATCGGCAGCAACGTTGACAACTGTGCCCAGGAGCTGGGGCACAGAATGCAGCACAAAATGAACCTGCATCGTTTGGGGTTGAACTTCAAACTTATGGAAGAACATCCTGCTTGGGACATGGGTCTTGCACTGAGCGATTCCCGTGGGGCTCTCCGGGGAGCATTCATAGAGCTGGACAAGACAGATGAAGACATCGAAGCTTATGTGCTGCCGCGGCTGGCATCTGTTGGGCCTTTGCAAAGCGATGTCAGCAAGGATCTTGGGCCGGGCGATTTTGCAGGCACTTGCCACGTGATACATGGGCAATGCGGAAAAGGCAAGCATCTACAGCAGGTGCAAGGCCTGGTGAAAAGCCTGGCTCAAGTCTTGAAGCGCTGCGGGTGGAGGAGCGGAGCACTGCTACATTTGTACACAGACGGCAGTGAGGAGGATGGCGAGGCTTCTGTTACCTGTTTCTTGGCATCCCAGGTTGTCCGGCCGACGCAGCATGTCTTCGTCATAGGGTCGCGGAGTGCAAACGACAAAGTGATCATTGAGCAGCAGGCAGGCTCAACCCGAGTGCCCGAGATAAGGACATCTGCTGAAGTGTTCGACATGCTATTGCAGATCCGAGGCGGTGAAGTGGAACGAAAACCTAGGGTTTGCCTTCGACAGCTGGAGTACGAGTGGGACCCTGTCACATGCAGCAGTTCTGGTGATGAGTTGTCCTTGTTGCAGGTGACAGTCTTGGAGGAGGGCCCCGTGAAGGTGCTGAATGGACCACAGCCCAGGCAAAGTAAAGGCAAGCGAAAGAAAAAGCTTCCATTTGGATTCGAGAAGTTCAGGAAGGGTGCCGCAGCACAGACGGTGATGGCACCTGCATCAGAGACGAAGTCCAATGCCGTGAGGTTGCTTCAGATGGCACTGCGTCCTTCGCGGGAGGTCAAGGCCAAGACAGATGTTGTGATGGCAGCGCAGCCGTCCTCATCCAGCTCATCAGAAGAATCGGTCAAGTCTTCAGTTTCGGGCGGAGCTGATGATTCTGACCCAGCTGATGATTCTGATGGAGATGCTCTTGACGAGCAGGTTGCAATGCCTTCGGCAGCAGCAGAGCAAAGTGCACGTGAGGTGGTCCCAGATGTTACGCTTGAAATCTTGCAAGAGGAGGAGACGAAGTTTCAGATCGTTGAAAAGAATGAAAGTCAACATGCGAGATCATCGACTTACTTTTCAAAAGATGTCGGGTTTACGATTGAGGCAGATCTTGCGAAGTCAGGACGCAGTTCATGCTTCCATTGCAAAAGCAAGATTTGCAAAAATTCACCACGATATGCATACCACTACAGCCGCTACAGGCCTTATGCGTGGCTTCACGCAGGCTGCGTGTTGGCTTTTGTGAATGCTGAACCAGCCACGAGGAAAGCACAGGCTTTGTCCATGTTGCGTAGGATCTCGGAGATGAGAGCAGACCAGCCTGAGCTTGCAAGTTCAGCCGGTGAGCTCGTTCGACACTTGCAGCAGTGAGCTGAAAAAGCCATCCGTGCGCCGATGTTGTCTGTTGCCGAAACATCGTTCGAGGTTGATTCCAAAAACAAGATACCCCTGGGTTTGCAATACCTGCAAAGCCCTGCAGCCTAAACATCTGGAATCCGTTTAACTCGGCAGGCGCCGATGCAGTTCATGCTGCGCGGCGTGCTGGAAGATGGCGAGGAAATTGGCCTCGAACTGGTGCCAGGGTATCGTCTGCGCATGCTGAAGCTCAAGTGTCTTTACTTGGATGATATATTTGTGCATGCATTTCCTTCTGGGTCGTTGTTGTATTTCTTCCGGCTGCAGGTTCCCACTTGGCGTAGGGGATGGATGTCTTTTCAACCCAAAGCTGTGTGGAACTTCAAGTTGAAACTGATCTTGGGCCCAATATCCTTAATCCCACGTACATCCCAAAATAAGCCTTACTACTCGAAACTCGCAAGTCAAGTATCTGAAGGACTCGCGCCGAACCAGAACGAACGAAGCACAACAACATCAGGTCATCTGATTACGGCTCCACGAACACCAGGGGCAGAGTGTACATCCTCATGGTTCGGTGTGATCAATGCGATGAAGCTGACTTCGATCACATGCTGCATGTGATTCAGACGACGTAGGAGCCCCAGACTCCCCTCTCGTACAGATTCACGCTATAAGCCCTTGCAGTGCCGCAAACCACGCACGTAAGACAAAGCAGGTTTCGAGACGTTCACGAACGAGTCAGTCTGGATGCCATCTCCGCCATCGCGGCGGATTGGGGTGTGCCCTTGTTTCCGGAAGCAGCCAAGGACGCACCGCTTTGCACCCTAGCGTGTGCCTTCCAATTTGCCATTCGGTCAACTGATGTCCCCGGTCACTGCTAGGAGGGCAAAACGTCCAGCCGCCAGCGGCAGCATGATGAGAGATTGACGCAGCGGCTTTTGCTGCCCGGCACGCGCCGCTTCAGTTCAATCCTTAGCGATTCCATGTGGAGACGGCTGAACAAGCGCCAACTGTTCTCCTTGGACATCAACATGGCTTACCATTCCCAGGACGGGCTCGATTTCATGCTCGTACTCGTATGAGTATTATATGATGTTCAGATGTTCATGATCTGTAGTCCAGAACTTACAGCCAGCTTAACAACTGAAATGAAATAGTCAGCTCAGTTGAGTCGAGCCATCACTGGCAATGGAGTGGGAAACGACTGATCTTTCGAAAGTTGCAAGTAACACAGGCACGATTCACGAGCTAGTTCCTTTCCTGTTTGCTGTTTGCTGTTGCTAACTGATTCGATGTTGAACGATGCGTATACCTATATCCGTATACCAACACCTCGTAACTTATAGCCTTATAGCTTATAACTTATAACGAAAGCTTGACAACGACTTGTAACTTGTATCTTATCATTCTTATCTTATCTTATCTCTATTATATAGCTTATATCTTGTTGTCTTAGCACTAACCAAGACTTGGCCCGACACCGTGTCACACTATCTAAACCCACCTAGACCGAAACCGTGTGACACCGTGTCAAACCGTGTCGGACACAAAACCACACATAGTGTCGAATAGTGTCGAACAGTGTCGAATAGTGTTGGAGCGAGACTCCGTGTGACACCGTGTCGCGCTATCTGAACAAATACCGTGTGACACCGTGTCAAACCGTGTCGAAGGGTATAATATATATATATATAATATATATATATATATATATAATATATATATATATATAATATAATATAATATAATATAATATAATATAATATAATATAATATAATATAATATAATATAATATAATATAATATAATATAATATAATATAATATATATACATATATAATATATATACATATATAATATATATATATATATATATATTCACATCATACAATGCATACTATATGTAATATGTTTGATATGGTACATTACTTATATTATAGATCTATACGTAGTGTATAGTAGATAATATACATAGTATTTAACATATAGACTGCAAAGTTATAATACGTTTTCTAGGATATAATTTTGTAACATCTTAGTGGCGTATTTATGGTCTATAGTGTTGATGTGAATACTTAGTGGACAGTTCGCCTTGGAGAAGCATCCTAAGAAACATACGCAGTTCATGACCGGTGCGAGAGTGTTGCACTGTTGGTCTATGCACTCAGCAAAACTTCAGCATTACAGTCACGACGCCCATATGTGTAAACATGACAACATGCTTCCAAAAGATTCCTTGATTCAGCCATGGACGACTGCACTAGAACTTTCAGCTTGTATCACACAGACGAATGACCCCAAACGTCATTTTGAAACTGGTTTCTTGTATCGTGCCACTGTCAAGACTCGTGAAGGTCAGGGGGTACCCAGCGGAGGGCGCTGTCGTGGACTTGAACCGCGCTTCGGCTGCATCCATGTTCTCGGAATGACGGGTCAGTTGATGTAATCTAATATAATGTAGTATTCTGTATTCAGGCTGACTCTACATGCAGGCTGCCATCTGAGCGAACACGATGCGTTCAGTGTATATATATATATATATATATGTATGAAGATATTATGTGCATATAACATCAGTGATGCTTTCACTATAGAAAAACCCAAAGCGCACCCGGGTGCGCTTTGGATTTTTCCAATGAAAACGTGCTTTTGGCACGAGCAGGCAAGAAACCCAAGGTCCATGATTTAATCACCTCATAAACACAAGTGAAACATCCAAAGCGCGACCTTTGCTTCCACTGAAAATCTGGTTTGTGCCTTGGAAGCAAGAAACAAAGGCCCCATGATGCAAGCACGTTTTCATTGGAAAAACCCAAAGCGCACCCGGGTGCGCTTTGGATTTTTCCAATGAAAACGTGCTTTTGGCACGAGCAGGCAAGAAACCCAAGGTCCATGATTTAATCACCTCATAAACACAAGTGAAACATCCAAAGCGCGACCTTTGCTTCCACTGAAAATCTGGTTTGTGCCTTGGAAGCAAGAAACAAAGGCCCCATGATGCAAGCACGTTTTCATTGGAAAAACCCAAAGCGCACCCGGGTGCGCTTTGGATTTTTCCAATGAAAACGTGCTTTTGGTGCGAGCAGGCAAGAAACAGAAGGCCCATGAACTAATGACCTCAGAAACACAAGTGAAACATCCAAAGCGCGATCTTTGCTTCCGCTGAAAATGTGGTTTGGGGCTTGGAAGCAAGAAACAAAGGCCCCATGATGCAAGCACGTTTTCATTGGAAAAACCCAAAGCGCACCCGGGTGCGCTTTGGATTTTTCCAATGAAAACGTGCTTTTGGGGCGAGCAGGCAAGAAACAGAAGGCCCATGAACTAATGACCTCAGAAACACAAGTGAAACATCCAAAGCGCGATCTTTGCTTCCACTGAAAATGTGGTTTGGGGCTTGGAAGCAAGAAACAAAGGCCCCATGATGCAAGCACGTTTTCATTGGAAAAACCCAAAGCGCACCCGGGTGCGCTTTGGATTTTTCCAATGAAAACGTGCTTTTGGCACGAGCAGGCAAGAAACCCAAGGTCCATGATTTAATCACCTCATAAACACAAGTGAAACATCCAAAGCGCGACCTTTGCTTCCACTGAAAATCTGGTTTGGGGCTTGGAAGCAGGAAACAAAGGCCCCATGATGCTTGTACTTTTTCTCTGGAAAAACCCAAAGCGCACCCGGGTGCGCTTTGGGTTTTTCCAATGAAAACGTGCTTTTGGCACGAGCAGGTAAGAAACAGAAGGCCCATGAACTAATGACCTCAGAAACACAAGTGAAACATCCAAAGCGCGACCTTTGCTTCCACTGAAAATGTGGTTTGGGGCTTGGAAGCAAGAAACAATGACCCCATGATGCTTTTACTTTTACTCTAGAAAAACCCAAAGCGCACCCGGGTGCGCTTTGGGTTTTTCCAATGAAATATGCTTTTAGGATGAGCTTGAGGTGTACAAATTGCCACATCCATGTCTGTTGCGCTTGAATCAGTTCATGTCCAAGGCAGTGCACAGCGATTCGCGACATATGCCAGAGATCGGCTTCCAGCCATCGTGTCGTCCATGCGTCTTTTCGACTGCAAGCGCTTGCAGCTGGTGTCTGGACAAGAACTGATGGGGATCCAGGGCTTCGACCTTTCACAGCTCAAGATCGCACAGCCCAGCTACCGGCTCTACAACCTGATGGCAGGCGACGGTTCTCATAGGGGGAAACCAGTTCGATGTTGCAGTGCAAATAATATCGAACAGTGCAAATGTTCATAGGTTTGACTCATATCTTTTTTTAGGAATAACATTCTATTCAAGCACATTATTGAAGTCCATCTACATCCAGATCCACGTCTATGTGCATAGCATCTGTGGTTATGTGTGTGAGCGCACATGTCATGAGGCATGTGTGTACTTATCTTGCGCACCGCTGGGCCACAAGCTGAGCAGCTAGGTAGCTTGTCAGAACGGGCATAGTGCAGCAGCTCAGATCACAGAGCAGAGTATGAGCAAGGACCAGCTCAGATCACGGAGCGGAGTATGAGCAAGGACCAGCTCAGATCACGGAGCGGAGTATGAGCAAGGACCAGAGCTCAGATCACAGAGCAGAGTATGAGTAAGGACCAGAGCTCAGATCACGGAGCGGAGTATGAGCAAGGACCAGAGCTCAGATCACGGAGCGGAGTATGAGCAAGGACCAGAGCTCAGATCACGGAGCGGAGTATTGAGTATGAGCAAGGACAGTAATGCATTAGAGTAGCTTCTGGTTTGTTTAGAACGGGATTTGTGTCCTGCCGGCAGTGGCCGTCAGAACCTAAATTCAGCTCTCAGGATCTCTTTGGCGTGTTCGGGCTTTGAGGTGTTTTGCAGGATGCATCCAAACAATTCTGACGGTTCCGAACGGTGTCCAAGTATTCAGGGACACTGCTGCGTAAGGTCCCAAGAATGTGCCGATAGTTCCTGAGATTTTTGCAATACTTCCAAAGCCCCTGTGAGCAATCAACCACACATAAACAAGCCACAGAGCATGCCAAACAATACATGTTTATTGTTCGTCTGTGTCGTTTCGCGGATGAGACACAACACGTTCCGTTAGTGTCTTGTTCCCTGTGAGGTAATGCCATGACAGTGAGCGTCCTTACGGCATGCGTGGTTGGCTTGCAAGCGTTTGCTCTGCCGAGCAGTATTTCTGACGATGGTACGTTTGGGCGACCCCCGCTGCGAGCGCCGGCTGTGTCAGATGGCATTATGGTCAGCGATAGTAGCCAGAGCAGCGACAGTAGCGACAGTGAGGGCACATCTGTTTCCCGGTCTTTGACAGAGTGAAACTCTGACTCGAGGTTTAGCTCATCACGATGATTGGCAGATAGAGAGGATTTTGATTACGAGGCCTCGTTGGATACTCTTGTAAAGCCGGGAGTCTGAGCTATGAAATGGAAGACCTAATTTATGCTTATACACTTATACAGTACAAAGTATACTGTATATAATACTACTACTTATGATGTAAGTGTCAATGTGTATAGTATCTCGGATAGCAGATTTGATTTGAACGATAATTGAAGTAGTCATCCCCATAAGCCTCGAAGACATGCGAAGAGCTCTGGCCGATGGCATCACGAGAGGTTTTGTTGGGGTCGAGACCGAAGAGCTTGATGTCGAAACGCCTGTGCTCCTAAGCTTGAGACTTGCATGTGTCGGTGTGTCGGTCGTGAAACAAAGTCATGGTCTAGGCAGCTCGATGTGCATGTTCGGAGGATGAGGAAGAGATCGTTTGTTGCTTGAAGAAGTCCTCAACGCAAAGTTGTGTATGAGAGCCGCATCAAACATCAGTCATGTTTTGAAGGTAAGGCATGATTTATGTTTAAAAGTTCTGTGCGACCGTCTTCCTTCACATCGGTCCCGCATTGCGAGAAGTATTGGATATGATGGGCCGTAGATCTTGGGCCCGAAGCCCAGCAGTCCCAGCGTGTGCCAGCGCCGTTCTTTGTTGGACGCCTGACCAATATCATGAGTGACGTCGTGAAGGATGAACCTCAGACGGATGATGAGGCAGATGAGCAGACCTTCGCGATAGCTTTCAAGCCCGGTACGACGTGCAACACTTGTGAGCAGGAGTTCGGGAAGCCCGACGAGGACTGCAGTGGGCCCATGACAAGCCCTTTGACACCCCCCGTTGTCCTGCTCAAAGTAGATATGGCTAGAGCCAGGGCTGACTTTTTAGTTTTGAATTCCAGGACATGGCGTGTGGGGCATGGTTGAGACATTAGGGGATTGAACAAGGAAACCCCCGGCCACGCCTATAACGACGACGGTAAACATAATACCATGCGTAATCAGAAAATCAAAATTAAATTATTGGATCGCAACCCAGTGGGCCCAGATTCTGAGCACTAAGCCCTGAAAGCGGCACCCTAAAGGTTGCATGAAACAGATCCCTGCAAGCAGCCCACGAGCACCTGTCAAGGACCCCACTGTCAGCTCACTTATCCTGTCAGGATTTTCCGCCCGAGGCGGAAATGGAGCCGGAGATCTTGCTGCCAGTGCGGCAGTTCGCTTGCACATGCAAGCAGTGCGTGTACGTTCACCGAGGCGGGTTCCTGGGATTGCAAGTTGACCACTCCGGTCAGGGTGCGTCTCATACGTAGAGACATGGGGCCACACTGGGTGCGTCTCATACGTAGAGACATGGGGCCACACTCCGGTTGCTAAACATCATGAATCATGCCTTTCAGTGCGTCATGATTCATGATGCAGAGCGGGGCGGGGAGGCTAGGAGACTTGGAGGATCGACTTTTACTCCGGGCTTATTTTGGGGCTGACTCTGAGAATCGGCGAAGAATATGACGAATCATGCGCCCATCCCCCTCTCACGCTATACTCCAGGTCCAAATCAATCGCGAGAACAGAGGCCCAGATCATCCAGATCCGACATCCAATCAATGCATTCCGGCAGGATCCTTCAAGAAAATGACTTTGGTGGAGCTGAACAGGAAGATGCGAGAGAACAAGGACGTCAAAAAGAAGCCATGTCCTCGGGAGCCAGTACCAGAAACAAAGCATGGCTTAGAATTCATCGAGATTTCGAGAAAATATTCGAACTTTGGTTTGTGAGTTGGTGCTAAACTACGTCACTTGAAGCAGAAGCCAGACATTATCGTGAAGATAGGACGGACATTTCAGGCCTCTCGAATACTGATTAAACTCGGCTATAGATTACGATTCTAATTCCTTGGCAGACTTGGTCATGAGTTGAGGTTCAAGGCTTTGCGCCGCGAGCAGCTCCGCAATCGAATCTTGTATCCAGGACGGGTGGGGTATATGACCCAAACATGACCGAGTGAGGATCCGACATTGAAGTTCGACTACCATGTCCCTATAGCAGAGATTCTGCAGGAAAACGCGCGAGGCACGAGATGGTCGATATGAAGACCTTCGAGAAGAAGGATGAAACCTTCCTGGAGATCGCACAGGACTGGAGTTGATGGGTTCTGTAGTGTAGTCGAGTTGATGATGAGCGCAAGTATTGTAGTCTAAGTCTAAGAGTCGCACTTTGAGTTTGTGAATCTAGCTGGACCTCACATGTCAGACCGGCGATTGGAAGAGCGTGGACAGAATTGTGCAAGAGCACAATGTCGAGCACAAGTACAAGACGCCCAAGGCGAAGCTTAACTACGTGCAGAAGGTCTTGAAGCTCGAAATCACGTTGGACGACCAGAAAAGGCCGGGAGTCGTCTTCGGCGACGAGGACCCCGAGGTCAAGAAAGTGAAGTTCGGCCGGCGCCTGTCACATGCCAAGGTGCACTCCAAGGAGGTGGGCAACAATGAGGAGATGGAGGCTGAGGCAAACAAAGCTTCGTCATCAGTGGCATGCAAGATGGAGCAGAAGGACAAGGATTTTTGAAAAAAAGCAGATTCGATGTTGAGCTCTTGGGTGTGGGTAGAGGGATGCAACGAGATGTGGAGTCCTTGAAAACAACAATTTGTGATTCGGTGTCGAAAGCCTTGACAGGGAGTGCAGCCGGTTCTGGATGCCTCTGACAGAGACTCCAACGGCGATGCCGGCTCCGACTCCGATTCCTCTTGCATCTTCAACAAGCCGGCAGCGGCACCCGCGTCATCTTCTTCCAAGGGCAATCAGACAGCAGAAGCGCCGAAGAAGCGCGAGGCTCTCCATCTAATGCAAGTGTTCTGTCCAGGTGATTGAGCTTGTTGTTTGCACGAAATTGCTGTAGTTCAGCAGCACGGAAAGGTGCGACAGTATGAAGTCTACCATTGTGGTGTTGGTTTCGGCCTTGCCAGAGGCTTCGAACAGTAAAGTTTTTCAAATCATGGGGTTTCAGTGGCTCGGGTGCGGAAGCCGTCTGCATACAGGGTTTGTTGCGTAAGCATGACGGATTCTCGACTCTCTAGACCAGGTTAAAGCTTTTGCAAGGTCTGTTGTGATTCTTGTGATAGGATATCTCATCTCATCGGCCCAACAGCCCAGCAAGTTAGCAGTTTACAGGACGACGTCATCGTGTCCAGGAGGAAAAGTGGCAAATCCGCCCCCGAGATAAAGGTGAAGACGGAAAAGGTGAAGACGGAGGCTTTGGGCCGATTCTGATCCTCCCTCCCTCACTCGCTCACTCTCGTTCTCTCCCTCTTTCTCTCCCTGTCTCTCACTCTCCCTCTATCGATTTCTCTCGTGCACTCTCACTCTTGTGACTCGACTCTTGTGTGTCTCTGATGAAGCAGGTGACATGAGCAACACTTTCGGAGTTGGTACGCGCATTCTGGGATTGTTTGTGCTCCGGGATTTCTTTGTAGCATTGCATAGCATGGCACACCCTAAATGTGAGTGAGCCCGATCCCTTGAATCTTAATCAGGCTTTCAGGGTTTTAGGCTAGAGTTTGAGGTTTTTTGGGGATGTCGGCCTTTGACGGCTGAGTGGTGTTTTTTAGGGCTTCTGGTGCTGTCAGCTTGGGGTTCTTAGGGTTTGGGGTTGGCCTGTAATTATGGAGCTGTTTCATTTCGACCGCATTAAAAAGCCCTGGTCGCGGGAAGTGAGGTGTTGTTCGTTGGGAAGTGAGGTCTGATGTCTGGGGTGTCGTGCGACGGAAGAGCGACACAAAGTTGCTTCATGATGCTCTTTTGTAGGCAGCCTGATGCCCATGATGCTCATCCCTGTGTTCAGGCTCGATCATGTGTATGCGAAGATCTGTGTGTATATGTATGTGTGTATGTGTGTATGTATGTATGTATGTATGTATGGATGGATGGATGGATGGATGGATGGATGGATGGATGTAATGTATGTATGTATGTATGTATGTATGTATGTACGTATGTAAATGTACGTATGTACGTATGTACGTATGTACGTATGTATGTATGTATGTATGTGTGTCCTAAAGCCTAAAGCCCTAAACCCTAGAGCTGGAAGGACACAAAACGGCACAATTATCTGGATCACCTACAATCGATCACTAATCTCAACTTGCCGAGTGTCCTTTCAGCTCTACCTACCCCCCACACACACACACGCACACATATGTATGTATGTATGTATGTATGTATGTATGCATGCATGCATGCATGCATGCATGCAACTTTAAAAGTTGGTTAAGATCCAGGCATCGGTATGTTCGACTGTTTTGGGGTTGTCTACAGTCTACACAGTTATACAGTTATACACATGTATTTATGTCTGTGTGTGTGTGGCTGGGCCGCTGGTCTTTCGTCCTTACTTTACTCTAATGGTCGCGTTTCTTGTGCGATTTGTGCGTGGCATCCCGCTGGGGGCGCTGCAACGTACAACAGCGATGTTAATCCAGAGTACCAGAGACAAAAGAGTACCGTTTCACATTTCCGCACGGACAGGGGTGCAGGGCATCGGTCTCGCATAACCAAAGCCGCGCAGTCTATTCGAGTCGGGAGTCCATTGTGAATCGGCGGCAACTTGCTTCTTGAGAGTCCTTACTATATTACCTGCTCTCCCGCACTACCTAGTATCAAGAAACTTCACATTAATGTCAGTCAGGCTCAATTTGGTCCCCCTGGCTTTGGAATCTCAGCGTTATAGCGGACGGTTCGGCATGGTTTGCAGCTGTGTGGGACTGTTTTGATCCTGCTGTGACTGTTCCCGAAAGCGTTCTCAAACGACTCCTGGAGGTAGGTTGTAGAAGTCCAGTAGAGTCCAGTATGTTCTTTGCGTATCATCAGAAATCAATCGGCCAGTATGTCAGTACATGCGTGACAGGATGAATCGGGGAAGAGGAAGAAGCCTGCGACGACGAGGTCGGATGATCCTCCTTCAGCCAAGAAGGCCAGGCGAAGCGAGACTTCGATAGAGGAGTTGCGCCTGCTTGTCGGGACCGTGACAGCGGAAGGCATGTTGAAGCAGAAGCCGGGCTGTCGACCTGCAGATGTGACCAACAAGGCGGGCAAGGCCAGCGCCCTGTCGGAGGAATGGCTCAAAGATCCCGAGACGGCGGACATTGGAAAGGAGGCTAAGTCGGCATCGCAGCTGCTCCTGGAAATGCTTGCTTTGACAGGCAGTATCAGCGAGTCCTGCCGAGCAGCAGTGGGCGACGCGGAAACAGCGAATCACTGGAAGTCCAGCATCAACAGCTTTAGCAAGGACAACGCGAAGACTTGCATTGTCGCAATTGCAGAGAAGTTGATCCAGGAGCGACCATTCTACTTGTGCCTATTCGCAGTGGGTGCAACAAGTCATTCAGAAGCAGTCAGGAATCGACGGTAAGCTCCATGTCAAGTCAATTTAGATGATTTGTTATGTTGGGACTTGGCCTCTCGGCCTCAAGCTCCGACGTGGCGGGGAGGGGCAATAACACTGTCGAATGCTCTCGGCTTGGATGAGGCAACTCTACACACCGAAGCTTGGTTGTTTCTGAAGACTCTCTCTCGTCTCGCCTCACCCTCAACCCTGAACCCTAACCCCTAAAACCCTAAACCTTCCTCGAGATCCCGTGAGCATTCAAACACACGCACAAACACACTCACACACACGCAACTAACATTCCATACTTCGCATTCCTGGGTTTGTTCGAAGTGGCAAAGATTCTTTCAATATGGCAGGAGGACTGTGCCCTCTTCCTGGATTTCATCCGTTGCGCGGAGCCCTCCCCAGGCTCCTCAGCAGCGTGTGTGACGCTGCACGACTTTCGGGAGAATTTCAGCGAGAAGGATCTGCTGCTCCTGCAGGCTTCCTCCTTGAACGCCTTCTTCGATTTGTTTCGGGATGCGACATCGTTCGACAAGTTTGATGCTGCGTTGAAGCCCAGCACCTTTCATCCGGAGATCGCGAGGCTGGGCCACCTCGCTTCAAGCTTTGCGTAAAGGAAAGTACGAACACGAAACAGCTCGAAATTGCAAAACATGAGTGCATGAGTTGGTAACAAACGCCTGGCTGCCTTGATTTCAAGGATCAGCTTCGAGACGTTGCAGCCGGCAACATTGGAATCACCCGATGTGGCATGGAAGAACGATAGCGGGCTGGCAACACAGGCCGTCTTGGACCTGGCCTACCTCCACCTTCTCCGGCTGAGCCAGCAGCCCGCGGATTCCATGGATGCAACACAGCGGCGGGACATCAAGATGATCATGTCTAGGTGTGGGAAGTTGAGCATGCGGCTTCGGCTCTTGCAGCGGTCGAGCGCCTTGATTAGGCTCGGGCTGTGTGCAGAAACATCAAGCATCATTCCACACGGTGATGTAGATGGCAGAATCGTGAAAGTGTTCGTCGTGCAAGCTTGTATTTTGAAAACTCATCATTCAAACAGTCGGTTGCTGATGGCAGGAAGGCCCACGCGGATGCTTCTCAGATTGCGCTGGACACCTGCTCTGTGGAATCAAGTGTCAAGGATGCTGAGGTCATCTTGTCAGAACTCCAGCAGCTTCGGGGTCTTCTCGAAGCTGCAAGCAACGACCACTCCAAGGCTGATGGCTTGAACCTCCGCCCGTATGCTCGGGCAAAGGAGGTGTTGTCCTTGTTGCCCGAGACCTCTGATGCAGAGTCGCCTGCAGCTGCTGCGAAAAAGGCCCTCGGCGAGGAGCTGCCACAAGTGGCAGCTGCAGCTTTGTCGCTGGCAACTTCGTTGCAGGGTTCCGCTGGATTGGCAGAGTTGTTGAGCTGGTGCGATCAGCAGTTCACCGGCGACGCACTGGTCTTCAGTGCATTGCTGCAGGAGGAGATCCTGCCGATGTTGCAAGCAGGCCGAGCTGACCGACAGGGTTGATGGATTGATGGCTGCAGGGTGTGCTGTAGCGTTGCGGCGTTGCGTTGACTAGACTACAATCGCAGTCGTAACTATAACATAGTATAAAGTTATATAAGTTATAAAGTAAAATTTTGTAACCGTACAGGGCCTTATTTAAGGAGAAGCTGCACAACTTAACAACTATACGTTCACGAATTGCATCATGGCCTCCGATAGGACATCTGCTCCGGCAAGTGTCCATCACGGGAAAAGGCCAGCGACAAGCCAAGATGGTTCTGGGGATGCTGAAGGAGCTGATGACACTGCCATCCATGCATGGAACAGTGGCGGTGGCCGAGACCGCCAACTTCGACAAGACGCTGGTTTCGGCCAGTAGGTGCGTTGCGGTTTGCAAAGACCTGGACCCCGCCGAGTCGCCGGATTGCACCTTCTTCCGGCCGTTGCTGCCAAAGATCGTTGGCATCCGCGATCGCATCACATCGTCGATCTGTCATGCGATCAAGACTTTGCTCGCGCAGGTAGGGTATGTCAAGCAGAAGTTCTACAGGTATATAGTTCAACTACGGTAGCTCAGATCATTGACTCATACAGATACAGGACATTTATCATTCCTCCATCCTTTCATTCATTCGTCATTCATCCATTCACCAATTCATCCATTCCTTCACTCACTCTCTGGTTTCTTCCCTACAGGCGCAGGCGCAGGCCGGTGATGACATGCAGAAGTTCACGAAGTATGTCAATGGGCAGTTCCGATCATTTGCTCAGTATGTTCCTGAGGCCAAGGAGCTCGTGGAGGGTGCTCGCCATTTGGGTGAGGTGTTGCTGGAGCTGAAGCAACGAGTTCTTGATTTCAAGAAGCCAATGGTCTTGAAGGCTTCGGAAGTGCAGCAGCAACACGGTGTTGTTGTGCGTGCATGCGCCTTGGACCCGGAGCTCTTGCGAAGCAGCGGATTCGGACCCTTCGTGGAGAACTGCCTTTCCGAGTTTCAGCTTTCCATGGAGGAGTTGATCGGCACGGAAGACATGTTGATTGAAGGCCTGGAGAAGCTGATGCACCCCTACCAGCCATTTGCTTGCAATCAGAGTCGGTCCCAAAACCTGAACCCCCTGAGCCTTTCCTTCCTCAAAACCCGCCATCTACAAATTGAAGCCCTTTTCCAGGTCCATTCTCGACGTGAGCCACTCGTGGCAGGAGGACAGCATCCGAGCCTTGGTGGAGATGCCGGATTTCCCCGGCGACAGCGACAGCATGATCCGTCAGATGCAGGCGCTGGAGCATGAATGGACACCGCTGATCGGTTTGGGCAAGGCGACAGGCGGCAAGAGCGAATGGACCGAGCTCTACGAAAGCTTCATCCGGGTCGCAGGAAAGATCCAGGACCGATGGCCGTGAGCATCATGAGTCAGTCGTGAGTGAGTTGAGTGCGGCACAAGGCACCTTTCATCACTTAGTTAATGCTCTGTAATTCTGCAACTGATAAATTAAAGCATGATGCCCTCTGAACCGGAGGAGCTGAAGCTGAAGGCTGGGCTGATCGGCGTCAACATGGGCCTTTGTGAGCTGATCATCAATGCCACGAAGTATGACGTGCAGAATGCATACCGTGACATGCTGTCTGTGGCCACCGGCTGGGAGGTCCAGGCTCAGATCCCTCAGAGCCTGAAGCACAGAGTGGAGGGCGTGATCAAGCAGCAGCTCGCTGTGGAGAAAGGCGGCAACTCCGACCGCGAGAAGGGCTCGGCCGAGAAGCAGCAGCATCACAAGAAGGAAAAGAAAGACAAGAAAGAGAAGAAGGACAAGAAGATCAACGGCTAAAGCTGTGGTGTGCCTCCAAACGGATGCACTGAGTTTTGAGTTTTGACTGCTTCGATGGCGGACAACCGCCGCTGTTCTCAGCACAAGAAGATCAGCGGCTAAGCTGTGGTGTGCGTCCACACGGATACACTGAGTTCTGACTGCTTCGATGGTGGACAAAAGCCGTCGTTCTCACTGCAGTAGTGCGCGGTAGAGCAGAGTAGAGTCAAGTGAGTAATCAATACTAGCCGCAGTGGTGGTGGTAGCAGTAGAAGCAGTAGCATTACTTGCAGCAGCGGCAGTAGTGCACACTAAACCCTAAACGCTCTCTCTCTCTCTCTCTCTCTCTCTCTCTCTCTCTCTCTCTCTCTCTCTCTCTCTCTCTCCCAGGCATTCGAAACGTCAAGCCCGGCTGCAGACACAATGATGATTGGAATCTGCCCTAAACCCTAAACCCAAATCCCAGATTTAGCAGCCCAAACACCTAAACGCCTAAACGCTGCACCACCACGGTTGAACCCGCATAAGTTCCCTGACCCCGAAAATCCTTAAACCCCTATCGCTACCCTGACCCCTTAAGCCTAAGCCCTGGACCCAAACCCCAAACCAAACCCTAGATCCTAAACCCTGATTCAACGCCACGAAGGGCGAAAACCCAAACCTAAACCTAACGCCACGAAGGGCGACAACCCAATCCTAAACCTAACGCCGCGGAGGGCGAAAACCCAAACCTAAACCTAACGCCACGAAGGGCGAAAACCCAAACCGTAGTAGCAGCAGTAATCGTCGTAAAAGCAGCAGCAGCAGCAGTAGTAAGTAGTAGTAGCGAGCACTAGATTCCAGGTCAGGCTTTAGTGCCTGCCTATGGGAACAATTCCTATGTTGTCAGGCCAAAACGGACATCTAAATACCGACTCTATAAATAACCACATGAACTATGGACGTAGATCTTTAAGGAAGCCAGCTGAAGTGGAGCCTTGCCTGTTGTGTGCGAGTGTGAGTGACGAAACCCTGAAGCCTAAACCAATAGGAGCCTGGTCGTCGTTCCCCACATGTTCCCGCGAGCCACAACGTCTAGCATCTGTGCACTGTCCGGCATGTCTAACAAGTTGCAGCGTCTCTTCCGGCATTCCCCGACAAATGTCGGAGTGCTTCACCCCGCTCCGAAACTTCTGCGCGAACCGATTGCAGCAGCGCTCGAATTTTCGGATGGTGTTCTTTCTCCGCTCAAGGTTTGGGGTTTACGAGTGGTTTAGGTATGCAGATCTTCGCATAGAGTCCGAGTCTGAGCGCTGGAATCCCACACCAATCCAAGACCAACCCAACCACCAATCCAACCACCAATCCAAGACCAATGCAACCACCAATCGACCCCCCAACAGTAATACAACCCGAAAACGATTATAACTTTTACTTGTTTAATTAAGCAATACAATGCTTAATTAAACAATCATTGCTTAAATGTTGTTGAAAATAACACATCTTAATTAAGCATGGTATTTCTTCTTGCAAGATCGATCATTCTTGCTACATGGGCCGATCGATGAATCGTTGAGCATGATGTAATGTTTGTCATGGATTTTTTGGGAGTTGCGGCAATGTTTTTTGCGAGAACCGAACAATTGTGCGGTGTGTGCATGCATGCTTGCAGGTGATCATGGTAAGCAGCTTGCAGTGCAGTGTGCATGGAACATGCAGCAGCAGATTATAATGATCCATGTTGCAGCTTCTCTAAACCAGTTTTGCAGTATATACAGAGTTTAGATCCGGGCAGCATGGAGTTCGATTTGAAAAGCAGTCCGAGGGCGAAGAACACGCTCTCTCTTATATCCATGTTTCAAAACTGCGCTACGTTACGGTGCATTCTCTGGCTGTTTTGTTCATGGCGTAAGTCCTTCCTTCCGGTTCCGGCCGGAACTCGCTCCAGAACGCGGCCTGGAAGGCCCAGGGCTGGCTTTTAGAACGCCCGAAAGTGCGCGCAAAGTCCATGCAAAATACGGCCTGGCAGGGTCAGAGTTTGCATGCTGGGCTTGCTGAGCTGCCAGAATTCCAAAACTTTCTCGCTTCATTCGAATTGCGCTTCACATGGAAATTCGAGTTCTTTCAGCTGTGAACAAACTTCATCGGAGCAGCGTCGAAACGATTGCGGCGTGTATGCTGCCAGCGCCTACATATGACCTTCATGTGGCTCAATTTTATGATAGCGTCGTGCGTTGAAAGACATGGGTTTGTCATGAATGTCGATCCATGAGCCTTTGAGCTCGTAAGTTTTGTTGTTTTTGCTTAGTTTTTCAATTGAAGTTCCTGCATCATCTTCAATCCATACTTTGCCTCCCGTAAAGTTTCCGAGAGTGAGAGCATGGTTCAATTTTCCGACCATGTTTTGCATGTCGCGATGCAGTCCGACTCGAGGATTGAGCAGCACTGCTATGGAAGTCCAAGTTCGATTTGGAAAGCGATGTCGCATGAAACGGTTGACTGCAATGCATGCTTCTTTCATTGAGGAAGCTTTGGACACTCTGGGAGCATTGCCTCCATGAGCGAACAAACCTAAGGTGCAGTATCGAGCAAATGCTCCAGTTCCTATGCCTCGTTGCCGACCCCGCCATGTCCATTGTGGCGACCAAGCATCGAGCAAGTCAACGACATGCTCTTCGGAAGGCGTTTGTATGACAGCTTCACATGCGGATGAAAGTTCCGGGCTCATTTTCGTTCATCAAGAAGATTAGGGCGGGGCGACTGGCCCAGGATTGAAGTCTCGAAGCTGGCGAATGGCAAGAGGCACGGGAGGTCGAGTCAATTTGGCTTTGGGTTCGGCACTGCCTCTTGGAACCGGAAGTGCATGTGCATGTTTCAACAGAGTTTCGGTTCCATCTGTGGCTCGAACAACCATGGAATCAATGCTGGCAACATCGCGAGCAGGTCCGTGCTGCGGTTCGAAGCTTCTTCTTGCATTTGTCGGAGCCCTGAAGGCGCCCGCTTCTTCTAATCGGCGTTTGCGGCCTTCCGTAAGCTCCTTGTTGCGCTGGAACTTGGCTGCGTTATCTTGATAGACACGGAAGGTGGCTGCCGGCATCGTCTCGACATCCTCGGGGGCTACCGTCACCGCCGCATGCGGGCGGGCATTGTAGGCCTCCGCCGCTTCATCCACATGGTCGCCCCACCCGCCACCTTCCCGGGCCACCTTTTGCCCGCCAGATCCTTCTTCAAAGTTTGGATTTCTCGATCCACCACCGCCGTTGCATTGCGGTCCGTCGGGTCCTTCTGCCGATGCACCACGCCCCCCGGCAGTGTCGCTTCCAGCCCCCGGAATTCGTTACCCATATCCGTGGTGACGACATAATTTCCTTTGTCCTGCACCAGCTCGGGGATGATCTCGGCCGCAGCCCGTGTAACGGTTTCGGCCCGCTTGTCGGGCAAAGCCCTTGTCGCAACCTCCCGGGTGAACACATCCGTCACCACCAAGCCGAACTTGTTGGCTCCCCGGGTGTTCTGGCTAAAGTCCACCAGGTCCGCTTGCAAGCGGTCGTTCGGCCCCTCCGCCGCGCTCTTGCCTAAACTCCGCGGCTTCGGTGCGAGCACCTGCCTCGCCACGTCGCTGCGCAATGCCGCCTGCGCCCGCGCACTGGTGAGGTCGCGTCGCTCCGGAAACTCCCGTCGAGCGATCTGGTAGAGCTTCCTGGGGTCTCTGACGTTGAAGTCCCGCGGGCCAGCCGCCCGAGCAGCTCCATCGCTCCGTCTTCCGCCATTTCTAATCCGAGTCGCCCTTAAGACTTTTTCTTGTTATTCGGGGTACAATGGCACATCTGGGGTTCAATGCTGTTGTATGGGTCCATCCTCGTGGCCATGGTGCTCGCAACACATGATGCTGCTGATTCTCTTGATGCTCGGGCTCATGGTGCGTCTGATCTCTTGATGCTCGGGCTCATGGATGCTGCTGATTCTCTTGATGCTCGGGCTCATGGTGCGTCTGATCTCTTGATGCTGGGGCTCATGCTCATGTTACTGTTGATTCTCAGGATGCGTTTTCCTTCTTGTTACTTTTGAAATATAGACATATTATATAAGTATATATATATATATATATATATGTGTGTGTGTGTGCACATTGAGCGTAAATGAGCATATCTAATAATGTGCCGGTGCTGATGGATGATCTGTTAACACGATCTGACAATTGACAATTACATCCGAACCGAAGAACTTGTGCATGCGGAGTCGCATCCGAATCCCCTGCTGCTGGAGGTCCGAAGCGTCACTCACAAAGCGCTCGGGTCACAGTTGTAGTGAATGCCAGGCCCCAGATACAGGCTCAAGGGTACGTATAGGATTGACGGATGCGTCAAAAAGATGTTATTGTGAGAACATCGTGGACGTACATAACACCTTAAGTATCTTTCATATCATCAAGTTGTCATCGTCATTCGGTGGCACCCCAGCAGACACTCACCTGAATGCCTGGCCATCATTCCTGTCCTGCAGAACAAGACAAGCCACATTCTCAGTCTGGTTTATTGTTGAATCAAGTAGGATTTTCTCTCCGAGTTCGGACTTGGTTTGTCTCTCAGGGATGGTGCGGTTACGGTTGTCCAATGTGGAGACACTCAGCGAGCGGACACCTCAGCTGCTGTAAGCAGCATCAGTGTATTATTGTCGGATCATTGGCTCGTGCAGCGCACTGCTCAGTGACGAGCCGGAGCTGGAGTTGAAGCAGAACAGGCCAGACCCAGGTTTTTAGCCAGTTTGGGTTGGAGGGTTGTGTGCAATCCTGGAGGTTGAAAGCCTTCAAAAGACCCGCGAGTGCCTCTGTGTTGCGGCCTCAAGTTCTTTAGGAGCTGCAATAATTTGTGGGGTTTATTGGGTTTCCTGGACAAAATTTAAGATTGTCCATGGGTCCGACTTCACGATGATTGTGCGTGCACTCCTTCTTCCTCAGGCCCTCGACTCCGAAAAGACTCCGGAGCGTGACTGCTCTGAGCGAGTTCGCGCCTCGAGTTCGTGAGCACTTGGAGATTAGAACT